GTATTTTCCATTAATACCATCATTTATTGTTCTTTTAATTAGAGATGGACGGTATAAAGTTGACTCTGTTATATTAAAAAATTTTGTATTTTCTTTTTATTTCAAAATATCTTAGAATGATATATTTTGTTATTCTTATTTTGGTTATTTTCCCTACATTATTATTTATAACCTTTTATCTTTAATTCTAAAATCAGTTTATTCATAAAATGAATTAGATTATTCTCCTTTTGAATCTTATTTAATTGAATCTATTTAACCTCGTTTTTCAATAAATTATGCTCTTTGTTTTTTTATTAATTACTATTTTAATTATCTTAATGATGACAAACAATCTCTTAATGAAAATTATTCACTAAATTTTATTAAATACTTATAAAATAGTATAGATTTAGATTTTAACTTTAAAAACATTTCTAAAAATTATCCATCTAATTAATTAGTTTAATTAGTTCTTAATATTATGAAACTCATTGCTAAATCATTTCTAAATCTAAAATTTATAAAATTAATGCTTACTTTTCTGTATAATCTTCATTAAAATTATCATTTTATTTTTTTGTTTCGAATTAAATCATTATACAAAGCAATCTAAGTAGTATTTAAAATACATAAACATCCTATACGAATAGGTGATAAATATTATTTTTTTCTGCATCTTTTATAGAATATATTTAATTCTCCAATGATTTTATTAATATCAATAATTGTTTTTATACTTACAATCGATTGCATAATTTCCTACAAAATTCAATTTATTAGCATATCATGTCCACACATGTTATTATATTTTAATTATTGTCCAATTATATAAAGCATTCCTTTAATTTCTATTGAACATAATTTGGCAATGTCTCTTCAACATAATAAGTGAAGTAGTCACAATTCATTGATTTGTTTGAATTTAAATAAAAATATTAACAAAATAATCAAGATGTTTATGCTACTACACTTTTCATAAAAAATTAGTTGAAAACCAATTGAATTTTTCTACCTACCTTTTTTATGATATATAGTAGGAAAAAATTCTATTTTCTAAAATGACTTTTCCTAATTTTAATTTTTATAATATGTAAGTCTGATAAATGGATTACAAATGATAATGTGTGCTATATTTTTGGCCAAAATTACAAAGATCTATACCAGAAACTCATTCTATATTTGCATATTAGATTTTTTTGGCTCATCATATATAGATTTGTGATATTAATCAAGTATTGTAAGTAGAAATGAAAATTTATATGTTTATATTTATTTGCAATATTATTATAAATTATTTAATCAATCAACCTAAGTATTATTGGATGCGTTTCATTATTTTTAAAGTTGACTCTTTACAAGGTATTGTTAACATATTTTAGGCTGTTTAGGTTCTTTGTATTTATTATTATTAAGGTTTGATTTTACCTTTTTTTAATAATTCTTTAAGGTTGTTACATTATTATTTATCTAAATTCATTAGCATTGGTAGAAGGTCAACATCATTACTAAAATCCTTCGAAAAGCTGGGTTAAGATTAAGGTTATTTTTATTATTTAATCTTTATTCTCGAAGGACTTGCATTTTTAAAAGATCCACGATATGACATTATTTCTTAATATTAATTTTTATCAAAAATATTTTAGGATTATGTTGATCTGTGAGTTTTAGTTTATTATCTATGAGTATTTGGAATCTTATTAATTTAGATATGAAATTAATATTTAAAATTAGTTGATTCTATTCTTTTTCTATTCTATTAATCTATAAGTCTACTATGTAGCCAATTAGACTTAATTTATTTTTTAATTATTAATTATTATTTAAACCATTAGTATCTTTAACATAATAGATTTATGTCAGTAATTTTGACTCCATATAATTTACATTTTGTCATTGTTACGCATTTGTATTCATACTGGTTAGTATCAAAGGATTCTTCCCCTAATAAACATCCTTAATTAACACGAACCAAAGCATTATAATCATCATTAATTTAGCATTCTCCAGAAATGAGAACAAAAATATATGTGTATTATTAACCTTTCGAATAAATTGTATTGTTAGGATTATATTTAAATTTTATAAATTTATTCATTAGTGTTTTTACTAATTCATGCATTTCATTTTCTGATTCTGTAATTTCACTAACAAATCCAGATTCTAATTGTCTATAGATTTTTGATTATTTTTAAATTTTTATTTGATTTTCAACATTTTAATAATCACTTAAGTTCATTTAAATGATTACACAATCAGTTAGAGCAATAAGTAAAGTATTATGTTTTTTTAAAAGACGATCATTATTTAAAAGTTCCCCTTCATGAAATAAATGAGTTTGTTTTGTATTACAAACACACTGGTTTAGTAAATATTAAAAGTATGATTCATTATGTAGTTTTATGCCTTTTAAAAGTTATTCTAATTCTATGTTTAAAGCCTATAAATATTATGGAGGCAATTAAGGAAAGCGGTTATGCCTTATACTATTTGTTCTTTTGAATTCTACCTTTTAAGGTATTTCACAAACTTAAGCTCTACGTAATCGTGGTTAATCATTAATTGAGAAAGTCAATTAACCATTTTGCTAATAAGTTGTAGTTACTTTTCTACCTGGTTTTTCAATAAAAATATCTGATTTGTATTATTTAATCAGACTTTTTCTTTTTTCATCTAAATCATCTTCTGAGATTTCTTAATATGCTTATATTTAACCTGAAAACAAAATCATTATTTTATCTTATCGATCATTAAATTTCCAAATCATTGAACCTATATAATTGATGAATATAAATTACCTGACTCAAAATTTGTCAAAACTGCATTTTATGCCATTACACGCAACAAGGCTTTATAAAGTTTTGTTTTAGTTTAATTGTGTAATTGATCAAAATATTATAAGCAAATCAATTGATCTTCTATGGCTTAATAATCTTTACGACATCTTTCATCAGGGTCTTTTTGTAATAAATATATTAGCATAATTAATCAAAGTAAAGTAACTAATATTTTTTTTAGCCAAAATAAAATCATAATAACTTAATTTTATTAAAATACTCATCTAAAATCAATTTAATCCTTGTGATGAAAGTTATAGCATAATTCAGTATTTTCATTCTGAGCCTATACATTTAAATATTTAAATAAGTTTTTTTGGAAAACCTTTTTGAATATTATAATCATTTTTCATAGAAATAAAAATATTTTAGCTATTTTAAGCTATTAATTAAAAAAGTCATTAATTATGAACATACTTATTTCTTTTGATTTAAAATATTTAAAGTTAATTTTAGAAATTAACATATTATATTTTTCAAAGTAACTAATTATAATCATTAATGAGACTGAATTATTTTAACATTATAATGGATCTAAAGATTTCTGTTCCAGGTGGAATTAAGATCTAACTATCAAAATTTACAAATACTTTTTTTCCTACTAACTTTAATAAGTCTTAATCTAATTCAGGATGTTTTTATAAAGAGATTGCTTCAATTTTGGAATAAAAAATAAATTTTAAGGTAGCGTCGTTGGTATTTTAGTATCTATTTATTTTTGGTTGACTTATATTTTAGACAGTTGATATTTCAAATAATGTTGGTTTTTTTATTTATTTCTTTTTTTACAAATCAAAAGGCTTAGCAATTTTTGTGAATGGACTTTCAAAAATGAGTTTTATGATTTCATTTAAGCTCTAATTTTCTACTTATTTCCAAAAAATATCAGAAAGCTCAAGCGAGAATTTGTTTATTATTTCTTTTTTTTTCATAAAAATATTAAATAAATAAAAACTATTAAACCTAAAATATGATAAATAAGAATGAATTATTATGTTAAATATATTTATATAAATAAAAAATAGATTTATAGGTAAATATGATTGCCTAATTCAAAAAAAATAATATTTAGCAGTCTAAGAAAATCTAGTTTTTTTAAAAGTAGCTTTAATTATTTTATCTTTTAATCGAAGAAATCTAATTAAGTTTACTTCTGAAATATATTTCAAAAGCATAATTTTTATGAAATAGATATTTTAAAATGATTGAATTCTCCCATTCGAAAAGGATATATAAATAGTTCCTTCTAGGGGTAAATAAACTTAAAAGATCTAATTTACCATTGAGGAATCTTCAAATTAGGAACTCTAAATTCGTAATTATATCCAAAAGGAGGAGTAATGATGACTTATTAATCAAAATAAAGTTTAACATATAGTTCTGAATATTTTGATTGGCATTCTTGTAATCTAATAATTTTTGAGGAAATTAAAAATCTTATTTCATAAAAAGTTAGTATGATTAACTTAATTTGACCAAAATAGATCTGAACAATTATCTGAGAAATAGAAAAAATGTTTTGAAAAATAGGATAGAAGAGTCAATAATTTGAGACATTATTTTTATTTCATAAAATTAAGAGTATTTTAGTAAATGAATGATTTCTTAAAGAATAAATAGTCATATTCTACTGGGATTGTAAGATCATGAATAATATCTGAATATAAATAAGTTGATTAAGTTTAATTTTTATCAAATAATTTGAGGTTCTATAGGATTAATTAATATAGATTTATTCAATGTCTAAATTTACTTTTTATGAATAAAATTTAAGATAAGAATAAATTTTTGTTTAAATTTGCAAATTAAAAATGCATCAATAATATGTCTATTAGTATGAGTTGTATAAATACTTATTGACTTGATTTATTTTGGAGAAATCATATAATAATTTATTAATAATTTATTTATGCCTATTGTATAAGGAAAAGCAAAATTGTGGCATCCAACATAAGAAGAATAAGTAGATTATTGTAAAATATAAAAAGGATGCATATGATGATAGAATGATTGCCAATATTGAATTGAAATCATTAGATTTTGATGATGAAAACTTTTCCCCTGTGTTCAATAGGAGCAAAAAAGAATTCTTCTTATAAGCAAGTGAAAGATATAAGAAGGATTTATCAAAAGTAATTATAATTAATAAAATAAAATAGTTAGCCAGGCCATTTTAATCATATTCATGCGAAGAGTTCGTTAATAAATATATTTTTATTAAACCAAATCATACTTATTGGAGAGAATGGACAGTAACAAAATGGTTGTCAGGATTTGGTTTAGGATATTTGGTTTTGAGAGAAGTATAAATAAATTTGAAATTAGTTACCACTACGTAATTTTTATGCAAGAGTTTTTGTAATGTGGATATTCTTAGCTAAATTAAGTGATCACTTTAGTTCAATTCTTCCTTATCATGGAAAATTAGTGATATCTACTTAAACAGATAGATTCTCAAAGTAAATAAACAGAAATATCTTCTAGCAAAGATATAAATCAATATCATAATGTTTGTAGTGCATTACATTTCTTAGAAATGCCAACATTTTAGAATAGAATATCAGAATCTCTTGCTTGGAGAGCTAAATAACCAGCTCATTTATTATATAATGATACAAATTGGTGTTTACATATTCTTAAGAAATGGCATGGTCGTCCAACTCATATTGCACATTGGGTAATTCAATTTTATAATAAATAAGGATGGTACATTTAATCAACCTTTGGAAAGATTAGCAGACCCATATCATAAGGATGCCCACTTTATCCATTGGATTTGAGTATAAACATACAAATAAATACAATTATTATTATTATTAATAATGAGTGCTAGTGTTGCAGGTGATCTATCAGATCGAGAAATGATTGAATTTTCAGAAGACGAACATTTGACTTTCTTTTTTAATATTGATCAAGTATTATAAACTATAACTACAAGGTTTATAATGAAATCCCAGGAGTTATATAAAATTATGGCACTTTTTCATAATCACTTTAAATATCAAGATAAATTTCAAATGCCATTATTAAAAATGCTATAGGAGAAGCTTAAGAAAGAGTAATCATTCTTAATTTATTAATAAAGTTTATCCTTAGAAATATACCTATTAATGCTATGAATGAAATTGAAGCTGAAACTAAACTTTTGTTGAATGCTTAATTAAATGATGGAGGAATTGAAGTTTAAACATGTAATTTAATTGAAGATCAAGAGCCAGTATTTTATTATTCTATATTTATTAAGGAACCCATCTTTTGTGATAGATGGAGAAGAAACAGAATATAAATGATGAATGGTAATATTATATCAAACTAAATCATATAGAATTAGAAAATTATGATAAAGATCAAACTGATTGTAATGATCCCAATAACAAAATTGTTGATGGTTTAAAATAAACAAACAATAGGAATTCAGATTATTAAGCAAATATTATTAAAAGAAATACTATTAGATTACCAACAACACCTTAACCAAAAAATTAATTTGAATCTAGATTAATCTCAATTTATTAGGAAGAATTTGAAGATGAATTTGAAGATAAGTTAAGAAATGCTAAATTATATGAAATGAAAAAAAAAAATGAAATTGAATAAAAAAAAAAAGAAGATAAATTATAAAGTCAAGTAAACTATATATTAATAATTGTAGATTGAAAAAAAAGATGGAGGATCATCAAAATATACTTATGATTTTGATGGCAAAATATTATTAGCTAGAGCTGTTAAAATGGATAAATTGTAACCAACTAATCAGAAATTAAAAATTGAATTAAAAGAACCATAAAAAATAGAACAATAGTAGTAACCATAAAAAAAATAAGGAAAAAGAGATTCCACTAAAATTAATAAACCATAATGTCCTGAACAGGAAATACCAAATAGAGTATAATATTTACACATAAGGTTTTATAAGAACGCAAAGATGCTGCTAAAGAAGTTATAGGGGATAAAGCATTAAGAGTTGATAAAACATCCCAATTTCCTTATGAAGTTTTTACTATGAATAATGGAGTTAAGTTGTATTTTGAACACAAAATGAAAGAAGGAGTAAGACATCAAATAAGTGATTCTGCTGAACATTTATAAATAAAATTATCAGGTTCAAATCTACTATCTGGTGATGATGTTTAATAATTTGCTTCTCAAATTAGATTAACAAGAGCTGAATATTAATTATTAACAGATGCTTAAACTTTGTAGGCTACCAAATCTTAATTTATGCCAAGTGAAACTATTAATGTTCCTGAACATGATTAATAAAATCAATAATCTATTTTGTTAAAAAAAAAATTAGGAGAGATAGCCAAATCTGAGTTTCCATTAGATGCAAAATAAGTGCAATTCAATACTGGAGCTAATTTATTATAGCCTTTAAAAAAAGAACATCCTTCTTAATAAGCTTCTTAAACTGAAAGAATTTAATTAAAAAATGTTAGGATGATAGAAAATTTAATAGTAACTACATTACCAGATACTCCTAAATCATCTAAATAAGAGCCTCCTCTACCTTAAATTCCAGATGGAGTGTCTAAGTATATTTAAAACTAATTTTCATAGAAATCCTGTTGACATTTTTAATTAATAGTTGTTAAATTAAAAAGAATGGGGCAAACAAATGGGAGGTAAAACTACTTACTTTCCTCCTGTCAAGTAACAAAAAAGATCCTTAGAAACCAAAGTTTATAAAGGAACTTTAGAATAAATGTAAATCTTTTTCTATTTGTACTTTTTAGGTATAAAATGCCAAGAGAAAGACTTGTCGCTTAAACAGGCAGAACAGCCATGAACTTTTATAAATCTAATTAGGATGGTAATTTTTAAATTTATTTTTAGGATCAAAAAAGATAACTAAATCTCTAACTGAAGGATTTATGTAAACATTTTATACAACTCATTCTAAATTTAGTGATAAACTAAGATAATGATTTTTTATAAATATTTTTGATCATTAATATATAACCTTTATTTTTCTCTATCTTAGAACACATTCACTGTTGAAATGATCTATGCAATATAATAAATTTATATAATAAAGATAAGGCTCTAAAATAAAACTTCATAAATGCTACACATAATTCTGTTTACAATATTGCTTTTAGAATTATTATTTGAGGCTGAGGAATTTTATTTTAAATTTATCAAGTAATTTTTTATTTTATTGCTATATTTGGGTTTTATAAATGAAAATAAATTTGAAAAATTTAATAAAAATGAAATAAATAAAACTAAAATGAAAAATGAAGTTTTTAAAGAGGATTAAAGTTAATAAGAAAGTAGAGTAAAATAATGATTAATAAAAATTAATATATTAATATATATATGGAATACGATTTAATAGATTTATTCAATCTCTATTGGCTATTAAATTCAAATAATGATCAACTTGTTCATTGGTAAGTTTATGGAATTTTTTATCTTATTTATTAACGATACCAACTTCAATATCAGTGGGTTTGAAATCTTATGATATAACCTAGGATTAAAGGTAAAAGATATACATTTTATAATGTTTATATAGCAAGCATAATGGTTTCATCATAATTTAAATCTGCTTTTTTTTTGATTTATTTTTCTAAATAATTGATTGCTTCTTATTCTTTAACACCACTAGCAGTTGCTTTATATCCACTATAATGTCCTGATGGATCAAGTTTATAAAGTAATGGTCCTAATTCATCATCAAATTAACATAAAATAGTCTCAACACCATATGATCTCATTTAATAATATTAAGTATTAGTTTATGCTAAATCAGCCATTCTTTTTGATAACACATCGACTGGACAATAGTAACCTAATAAATATGAATAAAATAATAATACCATTTTTCAATCTAAATTCTCCTGCTTCATATCTCATTCTTGTTACAAGTGCTCTTGCATCTGATGGAATACCTGTAGTCAAAGCACCTATTTTTTCTGATATATTAAATAGATTAGTAACAGATTTCTCATCAATTAATTTATCTGGCACTCTTTTTTCTGTAATCAAACAAACAGTATCTGTTCCTTTAACTCCTATAGATGTTAATCCACTAGTTTTAACTGCTTTAAAGGCATATTCCACCTAATATAATCTACCTTCAGGTGAAAAAAGAGTTATATAGAATTCATGACCTTGGCTTCCTCTACTCATTTTAATTAAATTATCCTAATCTCAAAAATTTAATAATATTCATTTTTTAGTTTAAGCACCTCCCTTTTTTTGTGATTAATTAAAAGTGTTTGTATTGTAAATGATATTTAAATTTTAAATCTTAATCGATTATGGTTGCTTTGCAATTGCAAATTATTATTGACTAAATTAAGAACCTGAAATTTTTATTTTATTTGTATCTGAAATAAAACCAACCTTCGAATCTTTATATTATGGAACTAATTTATCAATAGACTACTAAAATTTAAATAAAAATCATACAGTTTTCTTAATTGTTTATTATTAAGATTATTGTTATTATATTTAATCTTACTATTATATATTATATGCATAAGCAGTATTTTACATATTTAATTACTATCCTAAATAATTAGGTACTTTAAATGATGTCTATTTATAAATATTCTTATACCTTAGTTCTTATAACATTTTATTAACTCGTTGGTGATTATGCTGTTCTATTAACTCCAGCACTTACTTATCTTTTTTCTTATTCATTCTATAAGTCTAATTCTTTCATAAATTCAATAGCTTCAGGTAAATCTTCAAAATATTAATGCTTTAAAGCTTATCTACAAGTTAATCTTTCTTATGGTTCCATTTTTAATAATCCTTTTACAAAACTTATTGCTCTCTTTGGTAATTTACATAGATATCTAATTAAATCTATATATATAATCACCTTTATTCTAAAGTTTCTGGTTTAGAGATTTCTGGAAATTTCATTCCTAAAAATCTAGGATTCTTTGAAAATGTTTCTTATTAACTGGCAGTTAATGGTCCAAGCATTTTTTATATTAAATACAATTAATCCATTTCATTCTCTCCTGGAAATAATGGATTACCATCTGTTAATTCACATAATAAACATCCAATTGCCCTTTTATATTATTTAATTATTACCACATATCTACACCTTTATCATAATTTGAATAACTTAATAATAATTCTGGAGCTCTATACCATCTAGTAGCTACATAATCAGTAAGATCTTAAGTTTATGCTGTTAATGACTTCATATTTCTTTTTAATTTACTCTTGCAAATCCAAAATCACATAATTTTAACACATTCGTATTACTTATTAACAAATTCTCTGGTTTTATGTCTCTATGTACTATATCATGTTGATGACAACAATATATGGCTTTCAGAAGTTAAAAAATTGTCTTCTTTATATACAAAGGCTAACATCAATCTAATTTAATACTTCTAAACCAGATGGAGATGTTTCTAATACTTCTAAAAGATTTCTTTCTACATACTCAAAAACCAAATAAATCCTTCCCTTCCTAATTTTTATTATAAACTCTATAACTCAACCTCTTAAATGCCTCCTTTAATTCTACTATATTTAAATGTCTCAATAATCTCAACACCTTTACTTCTCTTTAAATACTCTTCTTAACTATCTCATTATCTTCTGTTTCCTTAAATTTCTTTATTGCCACTAACATTTAATTATACTTTCTACCTATTTCATTTGTCTCCTTATTTTTACATTTCAAAACCACTCCATATGCACCTTCTCCTACTACTCCTAATACTTCATATTTATTCATTTATTTTATAATTTTTTTAAGTAAATATTTATAAAAATTATAAATTAAATTCATTTGAGTATCAAACTAATATTATTTAACTGATTTACATCTTTATTTTATTATTCATTTTCAAATCCAGTTTTATTAATTATTTCTATTTTAAACTCTAACATTATTTTCATTCAAAACTTTTGAGTAGAACAATTAATTGCAAAATACAAAGAATTATTTTAGTATAAGAAAAATTAGATATAATTCAATAAACAATTAGTAATTAGATTTTATATAACATTATATGTATAAAATATGATCGTAAACCAAAAAAACCAAAACCTTTGATTAAGAGGATTGATGAAAATTTTTTTCTTAAAATTTATGAAATACTTTTGAATGCACTGATGTATTCCATCATATTTAAAGAGATCATTTCCAATCTAAATTATTAATTTTATAACTCATATTCTATGAATTTTAAGTTTAATGAGAAATGTGGAAGTGAATTTATAATATAACTTCAAATTATAATGCATCCGCATGATGATTTTGCTTCTTGAACTGGCCCTTCAATATTATAGATTTTCCAATTTTCTACCTCATGCACTTAAACTAAAGATTGTTATTTATTTATCTCATCAATAAAAGAAATTTTATGTTTCTTAGATCCTTAAGTTATATTAGTTCTAAATTTATCTTATCTTTGAATCTATATTTCCTTTTTTGATCCTTTCATTATACCTTTCTTTTTTGTATCCATCAAATTATTAATATTAATATATATGATTTAATTTTGAATAAAAATAATATCAATGTAATTTATTTTTATAAATTCTCCCTTAACTTATCTGTTTACTTGAAATATTTTATTCTTTATATATTTTGATTTTTAAAAACCCTTCTTTTAATCTAAAAAAAACACTAAACTTAAAAATTAGAGAAATTCATTAATATTTTAATTATTTTTTATAAATTTTATAAACTGCGAATTTTCAAAAAATATATCAAAAAGAAGTTTTATATGCATTACATAATATTTTGTTCATATAAAGTTGATAGATATCAGATTCTAATAACTTTCCTAAATTTATATACAAAATTGTTAAAATTGTTAATAATTCTTCCAAATATTTATTGATACTTAAGTTTTAATATGCTTTTATATTAAAAAAAGGATTAACTAAAAAGTATAATTATTATAAATATTGGTAAATAAAGATTACAATTAAATTAGTTGCTTTGAATTAAAATAATTAAAAAAAAGAATCAAAATTCTTCATAGTCATCTACTTCGAGTAATTAACCACTTTCTCTTTAATCATATTCATAAAAGGCTTTGGCATCTATTAACATGCTGATGATAATATCTCCTTGACCACAATTTTATAAATCAGTTAAAGTAATAGCAGTAGGCATAGATGGTTTAGCCATATCGAATATTTCATCTTTAACATCTTCAACATTAAAACCAAATTTATCCTTGAATATAATTAGATATAAATACTTTATGTTCTAATTTTTAAATAATTGGTCTAAAAAACATGTTGATAACAAAGGAATCAATAGCAGGTTTATGATAAACATTAAGAATTCTCCAGAAGTATTAAATTGCTTATTAACTTTTTTTATTTTCCATAGCAAGTACAAAATCTAAAAAAATAAAAAATAGATAAAACCTAAAAATGTCTTATAATCCATTTCTCCTTCAAATGTTTGATATTCTTCAAATACTCTATCAATAAAAATATCTGTTAATCCCCATGAATACTTTGATAATTCTTATTTTGATAATAAACCATTATGATCATTATCCAATTTCAAATATCTCTCATAAACTTTTAAAGCAGATTATTTTGAAAACCAATTCTAACCTAATTCTTCTAAAGTCAATTTTTCTTGTCTTAATTCATATAGTTCAGCTAAGATTGGAGATGTTAACATATCTTTAATATAAATTCTGCCTGTTCTTTTGGAATCTAAAAAGAAAAAGAATTTTCTGACAGCTGTTATAACATAAAAAGGATAAAAATTTTACTAAAATATAATAATATATATTGAATACATCTAATTTCTCTAACTAAGGAAATGTTGGAATTAATTCAAAAATATAATTCTCCAAGTCTTTTTCTCTTAAATATCCATTTCTATAAAATAATTTTATTATATTATACCCAATAGAATCATACAAACTAATTTATATTCTAGTTTGAAATAAATTAACTTTTCTAACTATAGAATGAAAGAATGCTACAATATCTATTCTTCCATATTCATCTCTATCAAATTTTAAAAAAGTTGATGCACTAAAAAAATGTCTACATTTAATAGGTAATAATGAAGCAATTGTTAAAAATGAATTATAATTAATTCTTTCTTTCTTATCATCAGGTGGTGATATATTATTTTTAAGTTCTGTCCATAATTTTTCTAAATCTTCTTTATCTAAAATTTCACCAGTTTTATGATTCAAAAATCTAGTTCTTGCTTCTTGTCTAACTCTGAAACTTAATTAATTTTCATTTGTAACTGAGGCCTTTTAGAAAAATTTAGGTATTTTTTTATAACTTGGATCTTCTTCTTATTCCTATTAAATTAGACTGTTAATTGTACTTTTTTTCTTGCTTATTCAATATAATCAAGAAACAATTAATCAGTTTCATCATCTATTTCTTAAGCAGTTCTTTATTGTTTAGAATCAACAAACTTTTTTAAAGTGTTTACCCAATCAATACTCTTTTTAGACATACTTATTTGAATTTTTAGTTAAAATAATAATAATAATTAGAATGGTTTCATTTAAAAATTTAATCAGAAATATTTCTTCTTCCTCCTTAAAATTCAAATTCATTATTTGATTCAACAACTTAACCTGATTCAGGATAAATATTTCTATATTTTGGTCCTGTTAATGGTTCATTTTAAACTTCTTAATTATTAATGACTTTCTTCATTCCAAAAACAAGACCTATATTAATAATAATTAATTTAACTACCATATAATAATGGAGTTTATTTAGAATTGTTATCTTCTACAATTTTTAATTTTTTTGTTATGAATCCTCTATCAAGCATTTCTTAAGGCATTCCTGCTTCTGAACTAAATACACTTGTTGTTTAACTATAATGATTATATTCCATGTATTCTCTTATTAAATCATTAATTATCATATTTTCTAATTCAAAATCTAAATATACCCATTGAAAGTTTTGGTTTGTCTTCTGGATCTTCATTTAAAGCATTAAATATCTCTGCTCTTATTCTTGCTCTTAATTAAGATAAAACTCCTCTTGATTCAAGAGTTTCTTTTAAAGCATCTTTCATTTCATTTATTGTTGTCATAATTTTAATTAATAATGAAATAGCAATTCTCATTCAAGTCCCTATCAACTTAGAACGATTTTTAAAATTTATAAACTAAATCAGAATAGATAGGTAGATTTCGCAATATCATTCCTATTCGTAAAATTCAAACAACTTTTTAATTACTAAAAATGAAAAAAGAGTCTGATCTTGAATTTCCAGATATAACAATACAACTAAAGAATCAAACTTCCAAACCTAAAATCTTTTATGCAAAGCCTTAATACAATACTCATTTTACTATTTAAGAAGATCTTAGTTAATTTTCAAAAAAAATTTAATAAACAATCAAAACTAGCTTTAAAAAATGTCTATATCAGAATAAATCTAATAAAAAGATTTAACCTGAATACTCTACTATACTATTTTTCAATGTAACTGTTACTTATGAAGAAAAGGAAACAACTTATTAATTTATTCGTCGTTTGGGAAATTTATAAAAAACAGAATAAGAAGATTGTGAGTAATTTAAGGCCAAAAATCTATTAAAAATGGTGGGAGTCTTTGAAAAATTTAATACTAGAGCAATTTTTACATTTAAGGTATTTTTGCTATGATTTAAGATTAGAAGTTTTTATAAAATGTATTTACAAAATTAAATTGAATGGAACTATCAACATTTTTATGATATATATCCAAAATCAATGTTTCTAGAGTATATTGTTTTTAAAGAGAACTTATCTTTGAAACCAACATACTATTTTAATTTGAAAAATTAATTACTAAAACTAAATAATTAACAAATAAATTTTTAACTTGAAGAAGATTACTTTGAAAATCAAAAATAAGTTGTTAAAATAATTTAATGTAATAAGAAGATGAAGTTATTTAAATCTAATTTATAGTGTATAGTAAATAAGCTTGATAATGAAACATAGAATCATTTACTAACTGAATAGGAGGAAGTGTCTTTTAAACTTTCTTTCTAGAATCCTTAACATTTTATTCGGCATTTGTAATTTAAAATACCAGATCAAATATGTATTGCTAGTAGATTTTACAATAATTATTATGAGATTTTAGATGGTATATTTGAAGATACGCATGAAATATTAAATTTGAAAGACAATATAACAATGTTAGAATTTGAAGAAGCATAAGAAAATTAGAATTAAAAATTGGTTTAATAATTATAATAACAGCAACTTTAACCTAAAAAATTAAATTTTGAATCTATAATGAAAAAATCAAAACATCAACCATCAATTACATAAGAAGTATCTCCAAGAAGTGATCACTCTTAGATTAGTTCTTTAAGAACTCCTAGAGAAGGTTAATAACTCTTACCAATATTAATGAAACCTTAACTTGAAAACAATAAAATAAGAATGAGAGCTAGTCCACCATCTTATGATGATAATATAAGCAATTCAAATAATCTTTAATAATATTCTACTCATCATTCAAAAACAATTTCTTAAATAGATATGGCATCTATTAATACTCCAAGATCATAAAGAACATCTTTAGCTATAAATTTGTCTCTTAGAACATCAATGACTAAAAATTCTTTAAAAACAAGAACTTTAGTAGTAGAATAATTTAAGAAATCACAATAAAAAGCAAGTTAATTAGCTGAAATGTTGATTTAAGAAAATAAATATAATGAAGTATAGTTAAATAAAATTAATTATAGCTTGTAGAATTATTTAATAATAATCCAAATTTAAGAGTAGATGAAAGAATATCAAATGGAAATACATATTTGATGATGGCAGCATAAGGTGGAAATTTAGACATTTGTGAATTGATTCTATCTAAAGGAGCCTCAGTTAATTTATAAAATGTATAAAAATAATTTTAATTATTCAAGTTACAAGGAGATACAGCACTTCATAAAGCCTTTTAATATGGCAATTTTAGTATTGCTGATCTTTTAGTATCATATGGAGCCTAAGTATTGGTAAATAACAAAGGTAAGACTCCTTGGTAACTGTGAATAATTTACTTTTATTCATTATACAAACAATAATTAATGAATACTCTATAATAATAATAAATAATTATTATAAATGGAGTAAAATAAGTTTAAAATCATGAATTTCTTCATTTGATGATTGTAATTGAGGTTATAATAAAATAAATAATATGAATCAACAATTTAGCGTAGAATACTTGAGAATCAATCCTTATCGTTACCGTAGATTACCATCACTTAATGCCACAGGCAGTCAAATTTTCAAGTACAGAGAGAGTTATAGGTTAGTCTCTCTTAGGAAATGATTACCTCGAGAACTAAGAAGAATTTAGTAAAACCGAAGTTGGTATACATGCTTATTATTCTCTAAGCAAGCTTTATCACATAAAAAAGAGGATAGCAAGAATTTCTATCATCATTCTACTATATATAATGTAAGAGAGTTTAAGGAATTGAGTAAAGTTTAAGAGTAAGTTTATTTTCTTACTTTTAGCTATCAAGAGAATAATCTCACTAAATACAATGAATTGTAAACTAAAATTATGGTTGCTGATTTCAAAAAAAAAGTAGATGCATTCCTATCAAAAAATAATTATAAAACCAATATGGTTGGTAGTAAAATAACCTCATCATTACATGAATTGGAATCTTTTCAATCAACCAATAATGAAGAGCAGTTAAATAAATCTCTTTGTTCCAATAAGTATACTATTCGTACTGAATGTAAATAGTAATCCTAATTATTTTAGATAAATCATTGAAAGCAACAGAGATACTTGTTATAAGTAATAATAAGGTTGTTTCTAGATAAATTATATCGAGTGAATTAATACAATAGAGATTACTAAAATAAATGGAGCATTTTCTAAAAGATGATAGATACAACTATGATTTAAAGTATCCATACATATGTATAAATAGGATGAAAACAATGATTGATTAATATGAAGATATTGTGAAGAGGATTAAATAATAAGCATATACTGTTAAAATTCCATAGAGTTATCAAATTTAAATGAGTGACTACAATGAGTTTTATTACAAATAAGAAGAATAATAAATTCCTTCCTTTAATGTTAAATTAGATCTCTTGGCTGACTAAATAATATAGGAGATTTAGTAATCAAGAGAATCAACACCATAAATGTAAAGTCAAATTAATGAAGTGTAACAAGAAGAGATTTCCCCCTATATTGATATAGTAGTTAAAACAGAACCTATATGTATAAAAGAGGAAGAGTCTCCAAATTAAGTTGATTGGACAAATGATTAAGTACGTGAAAGAAAAATATCACAAAGAAAAGTAAAACCAAGAAAAAAATAATAATAATAATAATAATAATAAAATGAATAAATATTAGATATTAATAATCCTAAATCTTAATAATCTAGTTAATCAGAATTATCAGATGTGTCCTATACTCAATAATTTCATCCTAAAAAAGAAATTAGAGAAAAAAAGAATAGTTAATAAAATACTTAACCCATATAATAAATTCATATAGATATTGTACCTGATCATCACCAGTAAGTTGAAGTAATTCAAAATCAACACTATTTATAGAATACAAATAAAAAACATTTAAATATTGATAAACATAAAACCAAGGTTCATTCAAGAAAAGTCACAGGAGATACTGTTTAATAAAGATAAACTCATATTCATTTAGAAATTCCAAAAGAATAAATTTTAGACACTCTAAGTGAAAGGTCTCACGATGAAACCTAACAATTAGAAGAAATCTAACCTAAAATCTAAGAATAAATAAAATAAGAATTGGAAATTTAATAAACTGAAAAATAAGAGATTGAATAATAAGTTATTGAAGTTCAAAATGTTTAAGAAATAGAAAAATAAGAATTAGATTCTATCTAAAATTAATAATTTATTAAACCTGTATCAATCAATAAACAGTTACACAATTCTGAATAAAGAGATGCTGTAGAAATCTGGGAGGATACTAAATCTACAGTTATAAAAATAAATCCAAAAATTAAACCAGCTTTATAAGAAAACAAAAAAAATGAATAGTTATAAAAAGAAGATAATCACTCTAATTAATAATTTATAGAAAATAATAATTTAATTTCAAGAAAATCTTCAGAGAATTAAGAACAATAATAAATTTAACAAGAAATTGTTAATTAAAATACATTATAACTTAATCCTCCTCTGAATATTATAGAACCTAAAGAAATAAAGTAGGAATCTTAAACTAAATAATTACAATAAGAAAATAAAACAACTATTAAAAATTAAGTTGAATCATAAATATAAACAAATTCTATTAAAATAAAAGAAGGAAATGTGACATAAAAAATAAAAGAAGAAGATTTTAATAAAATAGATTACGAATAAATTATCAATGAAAAAATGAAATTAATTGAACAAAAACTGTAATAACCATGTCTTGATATCATTGATATATTATTAGCTTCGGATATAGTATATAATGTAAGCATTGATAAATATAAAATTTCCAAATCCTACAAAAAGAAAGTTAATCATCCAACATTTATGTTTCAATAAAAAGATGAAGAAGAAGTCTTTGTTCATTAGTAAATTCTAAAATTTATTTAGGGTTATTTGGAAACATGAAGTATAAGAAGTAATACCAAAAATGTAAAATTTAAATAAACATTTGGAGGTCATAATAGATGAAAATGATGACCTCGGAAGAAATAGTTTGTAAAATATAGAATAATTAAATGAAGAATCTGATAACTGATTATTATGACTAAATATCTATTTTTATTAATTCGATATCATTTTTTAATATGCTCATACATATTCCACATGAATTTGTACTTTGATTTAAACAAGTTTAATATTTTAATGCTTATGGTGAAATATGCATAAATATAAACTGTGCTTTTAATCATCTTTATTAATAATTCTGATTAATTATTTTTTTCAGAGTTTTTTGAATCAGAAATATTATTATCTTCCTTTGATTAATCTGACTCCTCATCATCCTCTTTTCTCTAATTTGGGTTTTATGGATCAAGTTTAATAGTTATTTTTTCTTACATAATTATTTTAATAAATATAATTATTATGATAAATAAAACAAAATCCAAAAGAAAAATAAATATTCTAATTAATTTTAATAGCACTACAAAAGTATAATTAAATTTCTACTTTGTTTTTTTTTAATTTATACTTTTTATAGAATATCACAAATAGTTTAACAATAAAAATAAAAGTTAATCAATAAAGATGTAATATATAAATTTTTTATTAAGATAACATCTTTATGAATAATTAATAATGTACGAACCTTAAATATGGATTTTCATATAAACTTAATGATTAATGCTTTAGTTTATTTTTGAATTTTTAATACATATTATGGAATATAATTATATTTTCAATCACTGTTGCATAATTTGTATTTTTTTTTGCCAACACATTGTCCACAATTAGGACAGTAATGTACTTTATCCTTGCAATTTTCAAGTAGAAATGGTAAAAAGAATAATGGTAAAAAGAAAATAAATAGCAAAAATGAAACAATCCATGTTTATGGACCAGCTTTATGATGCATAATTGTGGTTCCTACTTTACGACAATATTTGCATTATATTTAGATTGGAATGATTGATCCTTGAGCATCAAAAGGAACATTAGTGCAAGGAGTTTCATTATTATAAATTGGAGTAATGAGAAATCCATTAGGTATAGGGATTCCTTAAATAAATATGTTTAATACCATTTTGTATATAATAGTTTTAAGTTGGTATACCAATAAATACTTTTTCACTGTTTTAATCATATCTAACATCAGCTAAATCAGGATAAGTAACTTTTTATATGTCTGATTCGTTTAATTATGAATGAACTTTAGAAGTCATATTTAATTTTAAATTGATTTTTCAATAATTAATTCCATATATTTCTATAGTATTTTTATATTCATTAATGAACAGAAATCTCATGATTTAAAATTAAAATGCTTAACTTTAACATTAATTATTTTGTAATGTAAAATTCAGTTCAATTTTGAAAACAATAGGTCTTTTGAAAAATTATCATTTACCTCCTGTTTTGATAACAATTATATTTTAAGAATAAAATGAACAATATTAACCGATGATATATCAACATATTTTTAGATGGATATTATTACTATAAAAAGGTTTACAAAAAATAGTCAAATGGCATGTTAATAATTGAAAGTTAGTTCAAAATATAATCAAAAATATAGCAATGATTTTATAACAAGAATTAGTAGAAGATTAAAAAAGATAAGCATATGAATAGTTAGGTGATAATCCAACAGAAGTTGATATTAAATATGTTAGCTATTTACTAAAAATTCCATTACTCACAATTAGATAATGGTTAGATGAAAAAGCTGGACTTGATCTTTAAATTGAAATTTAACCAGAAGAAGAAAAAGATGTAGAAATTATTGGTATCACCTAAAAAAAAATTAAATTATTAAGTCTTTAACATCTTTAAGTAAAAGAGGAAGAAACATCATAATAAAAATAAAATTGTTAATAGTAGAAAAAAAAAATTAAAACTACAGAATCTAATGATAAAGTGAAATAGCATAAAAAGAAGGAAGTAAATAAGTCAACTATAACAAACAAAAAGCTTCAAAAAATGAATACTAAAAATATAAATATCTCCAATCAACAAACTTAAGAGAAATAATAGCAAGAAAATAATAGTAAAATTTAGAAATAATATACTAATTATAATTTATTAAAATAATTTGATTAGATATAACTTAATTTAGAAGAATTAGTTTAAAATGATATTCAGTTTAATTAAGAAAAACCTTAAAATCAAATTAATAATTAAAATTAATAGATACCTAATCAAAGAAATTAAATTTAGAATTCAAATTAATAAATTGATTAAGCAACAAAACCACTTAGGATTTGCATTTAAAATTAGGATCAGCCTTAATAACAATTATAATCAAAAAATAATGAAAAACCTGTTTAATAATCTTAAATAAATCAATCCAAAATGAATCCCTCTGCATAAACAGATTTGACTTAGTATTTGGATGATTGGTAATCCTAAAACTAACAATAAAATTAATAAGTTCGAAAATAATTTTAGTATCCAAATATTTAAAAAACAAATGCTCTATAATAATAAGCAAAAAATTAACAGAAACATAATAAGATGTATTATGGAAATAATTAAAATAGTGAAAAAGTAAAGCACATAATTGTATTAGATGACGATTGTAATATAAAATAAAGCAATAATAATTAAAAGAAATAGGTTCAATAAAAACCAAACGATTAGAGTTAATAAAACCCTATTGTAATCCAAAATCTGAATAAAGAATTGATTAATAAAGATTAAAATAATTTAAATAGAAAAAATCAAACAAATAATTCAGATTAATAGATAACACATATTCATCAGAAGGAGAAATAAAATTAAGAAAATTAAAATTAAAACAAACAAGTGAATAATTCTAAGAATATCTCAGAATAATAATAATAATAATAATAATAATAATAATAATAAAATAAACTTTTAGAATCTAATAAAGTCTCTAATGAATCATAGTTATAAATAAAATCATCAATAATTTAAAATTAGTAGTCAGATTAATAATAATAAAATGTTATCGAGATATAAGATAATGTAAATTTTTAATAAGTTTCGGAATAAAAATAAGCAAATTAATAGTAACACTAAAACTCAAATTAGAATTAAAATGAAATTTCTTAACCAGTATAAAAAATTTAACAATAAAGATTATCAAACATAACTTCTCATCAATCTTAATAGTAGAACACAAATAATGATATTATTGCTTCGAAAAATTAAAATATAGATTATTTGATTAATAAGTAAGCATCAATCACCTCTGAACTTAATTTAATCCAATAATAATTAAATTAAGCTTTGTATTAACCAAATTCTTAAATTCATGAAGTTAAATAACAATATTATGGTTCCTAAGAAGTAATGTAAATATTGAATTAACATTCTTAAACATTAACACAAGTAGTTTCTATGTTATCAACGATAGGAAGCTTTTAATTTTCTTTGATGGAAAGATTAAATCTAGTTTACAATTCAGTGAACAATAATAGTTGAGTAATAATATTCATACACATATATTTAATTATTAATTATAAAGAAAAATATTTGAAATAGACTAAGGTGTATCCTTATTGTTTTAATTACAAGAGATTGTGCAATAAAATAATAATAATATATTTTATTGCCAGATGAAAAGAAAATTTGATAAAGTAAAAAGTATGAAAATGGTATAAAGGTATTCTACTTGATTGAATATTCTTTAAGTAAATTCAAAAACAGAAAAATAACAGGATATCTAACCTAAAGAAGACCAATGCTTTTAATAATTATCTATATATATATATATGTTTAGCAATTTAATGTATGATATTTTATGTGTACATCATGATCAATGTATATTTTTATTTCCTTTTCTTTTGGCTAACCTGACTTCAAGACTCTTATTCTTTTTGATGGAAGGATCATTCTTAATAGCAAATCTTCTATTTTTTGCGAATCTTTAATTGCACTTTGATTAGAATTAACAATTACTCCTTTCAATGATTTATATCTTTGATTTGGAAGCTTTTTAATGCCATTTCTATGATGTTTACGGGCATTATGATGAGAGGTAGCATTCTTAGACTTAGCCATTGATAATTAATTATTTAAAATATTTGTTTAGATATTTCAATATTTTTAAATTCCTAAATTTTTTGTATACACTTATTACTCTATCCATTAAGCATCTTTATAAGCTTAATTTTTTTATTCAAGCATTCTTTCCAATTCTTTGTAAAGACTTTATATCCTCTTGGTTTTAAAATCATTTGGTTCCGTTTTCAAAGTTAATTATTTTACTTATTTCTTTTCCACTTAAATTTTATTCTAATTTTGAATTTATTAAACATTATCTATAGTTTGTTTATTTTATTAAGTTTAAATTTATGAATTTTATAAGTCAGTTTTCAATAAATGTTATTTACACTAAGAAATAAATTAAATTATATTAATACTTATCTATCATCTTCCCATAAAAGATGTTTTTTTACTCCTTCTAGTTTCTTAACTTATTTAATTACATTTTCTATATCATTTTTAAGTTATATTTCAATATTAGGATCATTACTATTAATTTTTTCTGCTATTTCTGCTAAATTTGGGGAATCCTATGATGCAACATGAATTTCTTTTTTAACTTATTATCTTGGAGAAATTGGTAGACGTGGAGATTTAGGTTTCTTTTTAATATTTTAGGAATTTTTTAAATCTTTTTCTATTTGGCAATTTTTTGAAATACTAATTTTTGGATTTAAAGGTAGAAAATTATTAGAACTTCCATTTTCTTCTAAATTAAAACATTCATTTGTTAAATTAAAAGATTCCTATTAAATACTCTTTGTTGGAGATTTATATAAAGAAGAATATTTTTTTAAAGTATAGTATCTAGGGGTAGAGGGACTGATTGATATTTTAGGATTACAAGAAATATTTTTTGAGTAAGAATCAAAAACTTTAAATCTATTTAAAAATTTTAAAGGAGTTTGATGTGTTGTTGTTTAAGTTTATTATTTATCTTCTTATTAAATTTAAGTATGTTCATCTATTAATTCCTGTGATTCGTCTTAATTAAAATTGCTACTTAATTTTGCTAACATATAGGTTTAGAGTTAATCAGGATTATTTTTATTGATGATTCTTCTTTGAAATTCAAAGTTCTTATTTAATTTTAAGATTTTATGGAATGAATCATAATAATCAATAGCAAATTTAAGAATTAATTCTAGCTTCTCTGTTACAGTTTATGGATCATCAATTTTAACGTCTAATGGTTTATATTTGATTGCTTCCTTAATATTGGTTATATTGATTTTCTTTTTCTAAGAATGCTATTAAATATTTGTTAATATTAAAGTAATTGAGTCATAATTTTTACAAAATAGACTCTAACTTGGTAACCATTCTCTTGTTTATAAAAACAAATAATCTGTTGATATGGCTTTATCTAGACCTGCAACAAGACAAAGTAAACCACATATACAATTATAGAGTTATAAAGTTGGTTTAAGAATAAAAAAGAAATCCTAAATAGTTAGTACAATACTTGAATTTCTTTAGTTTGGATTGAATTAAAAGTTATGATTATATTTTGATGTAATAATTCTGTGTCTTGAACAAGTTTTAAGTAATCAGGAGTTTAGATAGAATTTAAGGTAATCTAAAGTTTTGTTTTTTAGATGAGTTCTTACATAAATAAAATATATTTTCATATTTAATAAATTCAACTAACTTGTATTCCAATTTTACACTCTTTTTTTCCTTAATTAATTAATTCAAATGGTTTATATATATTACACGGCTATTTTAAAGGGATTTCATTAATACTGTGTTCAGTTTTACAAATTAATTTTCCCTCCCCTAATCCTAAGATCTCTTAATTAGTAACTCATACCACTTAGAAATTGGCTCTGAGTAAAAAATTTAATGATGATTATGCAGGCAATGTTACTTTAAAATTTACACGATCATTTTATTTCTTAACAAATTCAAAATTTGAACTTTAAATTTCTTAAGCATTTTCAAAATAAGGAGATAGTATTAATTATTTAATGCTTGATAATGGCCATTATGGTAATGTTGGATCATCAAATTAATAAGGTTCTAATTATTTCATGAGGGAACTGAATATACTCTTATTTGGAGTATCCATATAATAAATTAATAATTAAATAAATAATAATCAAATCACTAACAATTATTAAATTCATCAATAATTATAAATGTATATAATATGATAATGTTATCAATAATATGAATTTTAAAAATCTTCATTATCTATTAAACATGATAATTATTATAAATTCATTCAATAAATATTTTTTTGCTCTCTCTCCTTAATCTTCTTAATCTCGACCATTCATTTTTTAATAGATATTCAAAAACTCTATTTAAATTCATATAAGAATACATATAGATTTTAAGTTTTAACTATTTTCCAAACTCTCTCTATAATAAATCAATTGTTTATAACAAGTATTCTATTACAAACCCAGAATTTATAGTAATGGATTCTTAATAATGAATTACATCATCATCATAAGTAATTCTATGCTCAATAAATATGTAAGAATAACAAAATGCTTTGAAAAAATCTCTACTTTTGCAAATATCAATCGAAATCACCTTTTTAAATAAGATTTATTGTTTCACTAGCATTTAATTGACCATTTTTGTTATACTGTGTAAATACTTTTAATTTTATATCGATTATGTAATTGCGTATTAGTTGCAGCATTTATTTTGCTTAAATAGAATACATTTTCCACTTCTTTTTAAAATATGATTATATCATTAGGGCAAGTATCCAAATATGTTGAACCATAAAATTTCAAATTTTTAAGCAAACTAAACATTATATTATAAATTTATGAATAATAATCATTGTTATCGTCCTTCTCTAACTGGAAATAAGAACCGAAGAAGAGCACAATAACCTAAATTTTTAGCTTACTTAAAAATGCATTCAAACAAAAATAATAATTTAAAGAGTTCTTTGCTCTTTCAAGGTAATACTTAATAAATTACAAAAAATATTTTAGATTCTTAAGATCCTGATACTCAACTGAGTTTAATTAATAGATCAATTGATGTACCTCATTTTAATGAGAGATCAAGCTCAAAATAAAGAGTTCAAACTGAAATAGTTAAGCCAAATATAGATTTTCAACTTTTAAATTAAAAAGTAGCTTAGTCTACAGCATATTTTCCTAGACTGAAAGAACGTGCTGTTTCATGTTAAAAAAAAATCTATTAACAAGTAATCTAAAATTAGAATAGAAAGCCCAAAATTCTGAAAGTGAAGATTCTCCAATTTTCATCCAAAATTTATAGAAGTCACTTGATTACTCAAATGAAAAAAATAAAAAAAGAAACCTGACTCCTCTCTAATAACGAACTCTAGATGTACCAAAATCTTAGAGCAAATCTGATCACCTAAATTAAGAGGAAATTATGCAGTTTTCTTTTGGTCTTTAATATAATAGGTAGAGCATAGAGAAACCAAAACATAAATTTCCAAAAGATATTTTTCTTGGGGATGTCAGAAAAGTCAAAAGAATTTTTTAATAATAATGAGATATGTAAATCTTAATATCATTATATTTTTATGATATTCTTTATTTGCACAACATTTATTTCAATAAATTCAATTTTCTTACCCTCTAAATTACATACATAGATATTTTTATTATTTATAGATCTAAATCTAATATAATTTTTATTCCTCATTCTACTAAATAAATAAAGTAAATTGTCTAATCAACAATATTTAACTTTGATTCTTGGAGATTTCTTTGATTCAATTTATTCTTATGTATCATTATTCATTAATATATATCTTAAATAAAATACAATTTTTAATGAAATCCTTTTTTAACAACTTTAAAACTAATTTTCTAATTTCACCTATTAAACCTACCCTTGAAAATTTTAAAGCTAATCCCTCATAAGCCGAAAAAAGGTAAATCCTATTTTTTTTTTGTTTTATCTTGAAAATAATATGATTTATTTAGTCTTTAGTGTAAATTTCAGGATTTTGGAATTATTAACCTTAAATATTGTCAAATTAAGCTAAAAGCGATTTGATAAAGCTATTCAAATAATCAATAGCTGGTTAGGTGACCTAAAAATTGTATCAATAAGCACTTATTTAGCAGGGTAAGGCTATGAATTTAGCTAGGTAGCTTTTTGGAACACTTTTATAAAGCACTTTAGGACATTATTAATTTTCATGTATTATAAGATAATTATTTTTTGTACCTGGTTTAATTTGATCATGAAGCATATCAAAAGTATTAAGAATCAGGGATTGTAGCCTCTTAGCCTAGCCTGCAAAAGCAAGGTAATAGCATAAGAATCAATTAGTGCCTAACATTATGAACTCTAGATAGATATTAATTGTAATGAAACTATTTTAAACGAATTACTTAAAAATTATAGATTCATATTTATGACATCTATAAAAATTTTATCAAATTATCAATCATCATCATTTCTATTTATTTTCAAATTTTATTTAATGGCTTTGCCTACAGGTTCAATCCAGGCATCTTTATCTTGATTATTACTTGCTTACAAGAAAAAAGTTTAATCAGGCGTATCAATTTTCTTAATGTTTAAAGTTATTGGTATCTATGGATGTATTTTCCTTATTTATATCTTTTTAAAAGCTTTTAATAGTGCTAACTGTTGACAGTTAGATAATTTCTTTTCGAATTGAATATTATTTATCTGCCTTAAATAATATAAGGTAGTATCCATTTTATCAATATATGATAATTAGAGTATGCTATTTCTAAATGAATAAATACTTTATTATATTCTTGAATTAATTTGTTTTACTTCTTAAAATAGCTAGTTATTTTTGTTTATTATAATTACTAAAATTTTGGAATCAAACTTTAATCTTATCTTAGTTATATTATAAAAAATTACCTCTCAATTATAAAGAATCTTTCCTAATTAAGATATAACTAATTTTTATGATTAAATTAAAATTTCTTTTGATGAACTACAATGAAATTTATTATAATCATTAAATATGATACTATATTTTTAAAATATTTATCTATCATCAATAAATTTTTGATTGTTTGAATAATCAATTATTTTCATTTAACTTAAGCATTTTGAATGATTATGAGAATTCAAATAGGATTAAATTATAATAAAATTCTTTTGATTCATTTAATTTATTCTAAAAATTAACTTTTTTATATTCATTTAATTAAATATATCAATGAATAGTAACCACACTACCAGATTCCATAGGGTTGTTAACTTGAGATAAATTTTCTGGAATTTGAGATTCCTCTTATCTGATTAAACTTTCATCAACAGATTTGCTTCCTTTGTTTTGATGTTCATTACTATCTTATTGTTCTTTCACAGTAGTACCAAAAGGATTAGGATTTTATACATTAGCCCAAGAATGTAACATTCCTTGATTATGTTATGAAGCTCCAAATTAACTAGTTCCCAATTTTTCTAATTATTATCCTTACTTCTCACTCTAATTAACTTAAATAACTTACGTTCCAAAATTTGGAGCTTAGGAATTACTCTGACTAGCTTCCATTGGATTAACAACTGAACTTAGACTTTTAATAGAATGTCTGACTCCTTATTTTAATGTTTATTAATTTTATATGCCTGCACTATCTAAAATAATTAATTTAATATTAATTACACATATTGTTATGTTGACTGTTTTTTTCAATTAATTCTTAATATTTAATTGCTTCTTTGAAGTAACGCACCTCTTAATAAATCACAAATAAGAACGATATGAAGTTAATTGGTGCCACATATTTTTGAAATTTAAATATAAAACTTAAACATTCACATTCTTCTTCATTTATATCATTTGTTTTAATAAAAACAAGTATATATTATACAATATGAACTAAAAATAATACTGCTAAAAGCAAACTATTATAATTTAAATTATAATTACTCAGCAAAGTTTCTTAATTCTTTCTATGATCTATTTTAATTAAATAAAATCAAAGTGAAAACTAAATTAAATATTGATGTCAAAACATTTGTCAGTAAAAGTGATAGAAGAATCATTGAGTATTTATTTTAACATTCATATTTATCTCCATGAGATAGAATCATCATTCCTATTATACATGATGTAAAACAATTAACTGATCTATTCGTTAATTCAAGTGGAAATATTTTGATTATCAATATTTCTATTTCCTTTAATTTATAATAAATAATCACATACTTTCCCTAACAATATCATTATGTAAGTCTTTATATATAATTAAAGTAAATGATCTTATTCTTTTTTTTAAATAAAATAATTGAGTGAATAAACAAGAAGAGTTATAAACATAAATACATTCATTGTGTATATAAGGAAATATTCAACCTTTGGAAATTCTCTTTTGAAACATAGTAAAAATACTGCAGCTACACAATTAAATACAAACATTATGATTGTTAAATACAAAGTTATTGACATAAAAAATGTATCGTTTTCTTAAACTCTTAAAAGTGCATTCATTATAAAGATTATAAATGCTTATTTAGTGTGTTATCCAAAAATATTAACTAGCTTGTTCTATTGTATCTTTTATTCCTCATTCAGATTTATCATTCTAACTTAATTTAAAATAACTATAATTCTTATTAATAATCAAAATTTGTTAAATACATAAATTATAAGCTGGTAATTTCTCTTTTTGTTTAAATCTATATTTCAAGATCTTAGCCTATAAATTAATATAAGATTTGCATTAAAAGTGCGAATTATATGATAAAATAAATCAGAAAACTTCATCTGTCAAAGGAATTACATCACTTCTGCATAAAGGACATTTTGTATTGACTTCTAACCACATTCTAATACATGATGAATGAAATTGATGTTTATTTGAGCATGGCAGAACTGCAATTTTATCTTTTTCTTCATATTCATTCATACAAATTGCACATTCATTATCTCCTAATATATAATAGACTTCATAAATTACCTTCAGCTTTTTCTTGTAAACTAAACATACTTTCTTTTAATGAATCATCAATTCTTCTTCTATCTTTTCTTTTTTAACAATAATTCTTAATCCAGTCATATAAACTATAAAAAAGAAGAATTGGCAAAAAAATTAAAACTAATAGAGTTATTATGTAGATTTCTAAATATTGATATATTCCCATAAATACAACCTATAATTTATGAATAACTTTACGGAAAGCAAATAGCCTTTATACAAACTATAAAATAAGACATTACTATTGTTTTCACTTTTTTTACTATGAAAATAGAATATCAACCCCCATAATTATATAAATTAAAAAAGGATAAAGCATCCTTTTCCTAAGAAATTTAAAAGCTTTTCCTATTTCAAGAGGTTTTTCTTATATATTGTGAATTTAAACTTTTATATCTGTTGCAATAAGAGTGATTCTTCTTGACTCTTCTATTTGCCCATCTATTTCTAATCTTTAAACCATTTCTTAATTTTATATATTAACTTAATCGCTTATGAAATCCTATCTTTCCTGATTAGTAAAACCTTCAGGAACCTCGATCACTATCATTTACATCATTTCTTCAATTATTTGAGTGCACTTAATATGGTTATCAATTTTTATCAATAATTAAGTATAATAGATGAAAGCAAATAGACTATGAGCACCTTATTTAAAAAAATAAATAAATACAGGAAACATACATCCAGATTTCTAAATAAGCTGCATCAAAGATATCCTCAAAATCCTTTTCAAGAATTTCATCTTGGTATAAAGTTTCTCTTAAAATAATCTAATATTTTAGTTTTACTATATACTAAAGTAATTGAGGCAATAAATTTAAGAGCTGTATAAATGGCTAATAATTGATGGCATTGTTTAAAGTATTCCTTTCCCATCTCAAATATTTAAGTAGGTTATTTATATATTTCAGTATTCTCATTTGGTAAAATTTCAACTATTCATTTATTCTAATCTATACCATTATTCTGATCATGTTCCTATAATAAACCTTAATCAATCTAATTATGCATTTTTCAATTAAAAAATTATTTTTATGCTATAATAAATTATATTAATCATTTTATATATAACTAAGTAATTTAGTATTAATTCTTACTCAATTGAAGGAATGAATAAAATATAAAATTGAAAAAATTATTTAGATCCTTTCACAGTCAATATAAAGAGATCTAAATAATTCAAAATCAAAAACCTTTTTGTAATTATTAAGAATTTTATATTTTGTCTATTGTCATAATATGAAATAAAACTGATGAATAAATTATATATATAAATATTTATTTGTTAAACAAACAGATGGATCAAAATTAGCAATATTTGATTGAAGTTCTTGCCAGAAAAGTTACATTAGAACTATTGAATCCCCTTTAAAATAGGTAAAGATTAAGACTTATATAGAATCATAAATTTGTAATAAGATTATACCAATATTGACTAAGCGATTAGCAAACATACTCAAGCAATTTCTATAATTAATTAACAATAATAGTAAAGATAACTTTAAGATTCGATTTAGTTAAAAAATATGAATGAATTACATACAACAATTGCATCTTTGGTATAAATTTATATTAATTAAGGAAGAAAAACAAATCTTAGCAATATAAACGTAAAATCAAACTTTTACTAACCTAATGGATAGAATTGAACATTACAGTTAATAATTAAATGATAGATCAGAAAAACTCAAAGAATTACAATAATAATATTAATAGTTGAAAGGAGATTAAAATTTTGTCCATTAAACTTATATCACAAATATTGATAATATTTAAAAGAGAGTTAATTAACTAATTTCTACTTAAAGAGAGGAGACTGAAGGAAATAGATTCTCAGCTGATAAAATAGATTCTAAAATGTAAGATTTAATTGAAAAACTAAATAAAATCTAAGAAAAGACAGATTAATATTAATAAACTTATCTGCAATAAAATGGGCTAAACAATTAAGTAAATGAATTGGTTGAACAATTTGAAAGAATTAAGGAGTAAACTATTCTTAAAGAAGAATATGAAAAATCTATTAAATAATAAAGTGATCACTTTAAGTGTGAACTCAATACTATTTAATTCAAATATCAATAAATTTTAAGTTAAAATAATAGGAACATAACATAAATGTAATAGTAAATAGATAGTTTCTAATATTAAAGAGAAGATACTTAAAGATAATTTTCTAATTTTTAAGGATAATTAAATGATTTAAGAATAGAATTTGAAAATAAGAACTCAGAAATATTAAAATCTATAAATAATTAAAAAGTACTTTTTGAATAGAGGTATGAGGAATGGAGTGAAACTTTTCATTCAGTTTAGAAAGTTGTGGAATAATTTAAATTCGATTTTACTAGTATGAAATAGAATTATAAGAAAACTATTTTAAAATATGATGAAGTTTTTGAGTAATATAAGGAAAAATGTGATAATGATATTATGTAAATATTGAATAGAAATACAAATATATAAAAATAATATCTAGATGAATAAATATAAATAATGGATAACCATTTTATAGAAGAATTGTAATCTTTATAAAACTAATTGATACCTAATATAATTTAAAACATCACTTCACTTGATAATGAAGGAAAATAAAATCAGTAAATTTAAAAAAAAAGTAAATTAGATATTGATGATAATTAATCTAAGTAATACATACTATAAGTTCCCTCTAATTAAACAAATATTAATCCCCACAGAAAAAGTAAAGTATAGAAAGATACAGTAGAAGCTGAATCTCCATTAGGTATAAATATAACCAGTATTCATGTATCAGGAAATAATAAATCAATTAGATCTAATAGTAGAATGGATGGTTATATTGAATATTAATCATTTGAAAAGAAATAATCAGTATCAAAAGGAATTGATAATTTAGAGTTAATAGAAATAAAGTAATAGTTGGAGAAATTGTTAGAATCTTAAAAGTCTTGTTAATTTTAATACTAATAATAAGATAAGGATTTAAAGTAATTAAATGATAAGGTCAAAAAGCATCATGAAAGATTAGAATTCTTTTTCTTATAAACTAAAACTTAATTGAATAAATACAATTCTAAAATTGATACAATTTAAAATGATACTAAAATAGGGTAACCATAACCTGACAGAGAATTTGTAGATTTAAATTATATTAAAAGAGAACTTGAATAGTTGTAAGGATAAATTACAAAAATTAAATCTGATATTTAAAATGATGCTACATTTACACATCAATAAATTAAGAATTTATAGAAAATTAGAGATTAAATCTTACCAAAGCAATAAGAGTAACAAATCAAGATGGATTAGTTAGATGAATGTTAAAAATTAATGATTATTTTATTACTTTAAAATGAATTGGTTTAAATTAGTCATGAAGATGGTTTATATAGAGTAGATTAAAATGTTAATAATTTACATTTTGAATTTCAACCTGGTTTGAAAGATGAAAACACTCATATAACTTATAGACAATAAAGAATATCTAAAGTAGATTTCATATTAAATTAAATATTGTCTATCAAAAAAATAACTTTATCAACAAGTAGAATAGATTTAAATTTATCATAATCTTAAACCCTTAGAAAATAATAAACAAATAGAAACTTAAATAAAAATGGCAAAATAAGCAATTCTGTGATAGTAGCAAAGAATTAAAAATTAAATGAATCAACAAGATTGACAATGAGAAATACATTTACAGTAGAGATGAGTTAAAAATATATGAATAGAAGTTAAAGGCAAAGAGATACATTTTATTAAGCCAAAATATCATTATCAAATTAGCGTTTAAATTAAACTTTAACTGATTGATCTAATATCCAATAAATATTGCTATTTATATAAATCAATAAATAATTATTAAAATAAATGATAAATTTTATTTTATTCTCAACTATGATGTGCTATCGACCAATACCTTAAAAAAGTATATTATTCTATCTACTTCTAAATTTAGGTTCAATTATAGAGAAGGTATGAATTCTCTATTAATCTATTAACAATTAGAAGAATGGAAAATAAATGATGATCAATTTTCATTAATGATTCCTGAAGAAACAGCTTGTAATAGATAAAATAGTGTTCCTGGTGTGCATATGATATGATGGGTAAGGAGAACAAAATTTGAATAAGAATGCAAATTGGGATTTTTAAAATAGAATTTTTAGAACTTATTAAAAAGCTTTCTAATACAATCTAATACCAAATATATGTTATGACTAGGATAAAGTACTTTGGGAGAGAAAGCATATTCTCATGGTTGATGCTCAATTTTATCGATTCCTAAAACAGATAAATTTACTTTAATTATTCATAATTGGTTAAAAAAGAAATTAGATAAAAAACAAAATTTAAATCTTAATGATTAGATAAATTAATGTGATTATAAATATCATAAAGCTAATTCAAAATTGATTATAAATAAGCTAAAGATGTAATACAATAATAAATTATTTTAGATTAAAGCAACTGATTATTTGAAACCAAAAAACCAGTATTTAATCAATTTATTATAAGAAATGATTAAGAACTTTAAGGTCAATAAGATTTTTTAGGATTGATAAAAACATGATTCATAATCATTTTTATTTATTATTTTATGTGCTATAGGTAATTCATTCACCTTTTTCGAATTTTTTAAGTTCTTCTGGAGTTAATTCTCTTTTTAAACCATATAATTTATGTCCTTCTTTAATACCCTTCTTAAACCAAGTTTAAGTAACATTATTAGCAATTAAACCTCTTTCAAATGCTTAGTCAAGTGAAACTTAATCATATGGTTTTTCCTTTGCATTAATAAGCATTTTTATATACTTTGATGCTATTTTATATTTTCACTTCATCTACTACTGTTTTAAAAGAAAAAGGTTCATTAATTGCAAGATTAGCTAAAATTTTTCTATCTAATTATATATTTGAATGATTTAATCCAAATATAAATTGACTGTAACTTATTCTATGTTCTCTTACTCCAGCATTGATAGCCTAAATCCACTCACGTCCTATTTATGATAATAGACATACTTAAAATTCTTGGTCTAAGTCTTCTACTCACATAAGCATATTGCAAGGATTTTTAAACTCTATTCATCATTATTTTAGAAGTATTTCTAGCACGTCCTTAGAAGCCTTTGGCCAATTCTAAATACTTTTTTAAACTCCAATTAGCCATAATTAATTAAATATTAACAATAAATTTATGTTTATTGAAGATATTGAATTTTTATCATCTAAACGCTACTTTTATCTTAATTTTTACAATCTATACATAAATATGAATTCAAAATAACTAATTGGATCATTTTTTTATTGTTAATTTTAAATTAGTTTATTAATTTATAAAATGGATTAGAGATAAGAAAATTATAAAGAAGTTATAATCGATTTGATGTAAAATAACTTTATTTAATAGATATAACTTAAAATATATTTTAAATGCATATTTAAATAACAAGAATGTTCCTCCAGGCCATCCAATATATATTTTAGGACAAAGAATAGATATTGATGAAAATAATATTGAAGTAAGAAAATTTTTTTTATTACTTAAGGATCGAATTGATAAAATTAAGTAATTAGTTTCAGAAACTATTTGGATTACATATAGGAGAAATTTTCCACCTTTATATTGTAATTTATCAAATAATTTTTAAGAATCAAATTATATTTCAGATACTGGATGGGGTTGCATGCTTAGAGTAGGATAAATGGCTATGGCTTAAATGCTTAAAAAACATTTTAAAAATCAAGCAGATAAAAGAGAAGATGATTATGATAAAATTTTATTAGCCTTTGCTGATAATGATTCAGAAGAATGCAAACAATTTATTGAATTCTAGAATAAAATGGATAAATAAAAAGATCAAAATTTTCTATGTCCATTTAGCATATAAAAAATAGCATATTTAGCCAAAAAAGAATTTAATATAGATGCAGGTGATTGGTATAAACCTAATTATATTCTATTTCTACTTGAATAATTGCATAACACTATACCAATTAGATGTATTAATTTAAAAATAATTAATTTTAGCATCTGAAAATCTCAAATTATCAGTATTTAATGATTCTTGTCTCTTTCTGGATTAATTAATGAACACAATGTTTGAAACTAAATTTAAAAGTGATTAAGATCTAGAAGAGCTTTTAGAAAAGGATTAATTAAAAAGTAAGAATAGTTTAGCCATTTTTGTTTTAACAAGAATTGGTTTAGATGAACCTAATTCTAGATATTTGCTTATTCTAGACGAACTTATGGAATTACCATATTTTTAAGGTATTGTTGGAGGAACTCCAAAAAGAGCATTCTATATACTTGGAAAGATTAATGATCATTATATTTATTTAGATCCACATTATGTTTAGGAGTCTGAAAATAAAGATTAAATTCAAGAGAATAAAGTGTTATATCGAACTACTTATAGTTGCAAATATATCCATTTATTAAATCAAAAGTAAATGGATACATCCATGGGACTTTCATTTTATATTCACAATTAAACTGAATTGCTTCAATTTTGGAGAAATGTATTAAATTTAATTTTATTATTATAGATAAAACTAATAAAACAAAAATAAGAGGACTTCTTTATATACCTCTCGAATTTCACACCTGAATTCGTAGATTATAGTAATTAATTAGAAGAGAGCAGCAGTAAACTTAATGATGATGATGTTGTATTTATATAATGAAATTCATCTATTTTGATTTCAATATATTTCCAGATCTTATTCTTATGAAAAGATCACATTACAAGTAATTTAGAATTATTTAACGATTTAATTTAAGAAACCAATTTAAAACTTAATTTAAATCTTGTAATATATTAATATTAAAATTAAATAAATAATGAGAGAAAAGTGGCGAAAGAAGAGAATGCGAAGACTTAAGAGAAAGAGACGTAAGGCACGTAAGTGATTTACATTATTTGCACATATTCTAGATATATATATTCGTTTTATATTTCATTCTTAATTTCTATTTCTTCCTATGGTTGTTATTACATAAATTGAATGCTCCTTATATTCAAGTGAAGTGATTCTTCATTTCATTTTTTTTAAAGGATGTATGAAATTTTCATATTCCTTTAAATATATTCAAGGTCAAAAAAGCACATGATCTGAAGAGTAACAAATTAGCAAATAACTAGTCAAAATTAAAAGATTATTTGCAAAATCCAATATATTATAGCAATTAAATAAATAATGGTAATCTCAATTGTTATTTATGATTACTTTGCCAATTATATTAATTTTCCAGATTATTCATTCAATTGATAAAGTAGATCAATATTTAAAGATTTAAACGAAGCTAAGCAAATATATTGATTAATGGTTTCTAGGTAGAGCTATTTATTAGCTTTTAAGTTTGCTACCATACATTAATCAATAATATTTTATTAAACATTTATTTGTTAATTAATAATCTCTATATGCCACATAATATTTATTTTATTTTTCCTGGTAGAATATTAAATTAGATAACATCTGAATTGTTAGTTCTTTTGATATGAATTATTATAGATATGTTATAAAGCAAGATTCTAATCTATAAATTTAGAATACTGAATCTAGCTTTAACATGAATGAAATAATATAGTTCATCATGATGAATTATATAGATTTGATTGAATTTGAATTAAAATGAGAATGTAAATAATAATTGTGAATGATAATTTATAATAATAATATTTGATAGTTTAAAATAAAACATGTCTAACAATGATTAAACAAAATAGGTTTAAAATTATGTTTTAGGTATAAATATAATAATTTTAGAGATCGCACGCTTGGGAAAGGAACTTTTGGTAAAGTAAAACTAGGTTATCATACAATTTGTGATGAATATGTAAAATTGAATTAAATTTTGAGGTGGCTGTAAAGATTTTGGAGAAGAGAAAAATTGAAAGTGACGCAGATTTTGTTAGAGTATAAAGAGAAATAGCTATTTTACGTAAAGTAGAACATTAAAATGTTATAAAACTATATGAGGTAATAATAAAGTGAATTAGCAGATATTGGAATCTGATACAAATCTTTATTTAGTAATGGAATACGCAAAAGGAGGAGAACTATTTGATTATATAGTGAAGAAGAATCAGTAAATATAAAATTTAATTAGGTTATCCGAAATAGCTGCGACGAGATTTTTTATTCAATTGATAGATGCAGTTGAATATTTACATTCTTAAAAGATTGTGCATAGAGACTTAAAACCTGAAAATTTGCTTTTGGATGAGTAGAGGAATCTAAAAGTGGCTGATTTTGGACTAAGTAATATATACAAGGATAACGATCAACTAAAAACAGCATGTGGATCTCCATGTTATGCTGCACCTGAAATGCTATGTATTAATATTTATAATTAATAGATGGTAAACAATATGGAGGTTAAAAGAGTGATATTTGGAGTTGTGGTATAATCTTATATGCAATGCTTTGCGGTTATTTACCATTTGAACATGAGAACACAAAGAAACTTTATGAAATGATTAAATATGAAGATTATGAGAAACCAAAAAACATTTCACCATTAGCATAGGATCTATTAAAATAATTATTGACTAAAGACCCATCTTTAAGAATTGGATTCAATGAAATCAAATAACATCCATTTTATAAAAAAATGGTTATTTAACCTTAGTAGAACTTAATAACCAAGGATTAAGTTGTTTTGAAGAAATTATCAGAATTAGGTTATGAAGTCAACAGTGTTATTGACTAGGTTTAAAAAAATAAACATAATTCAATTACTGCTGCATATTGGTTATTGATCAAAAAATTTACATCTAATCAATAATCTATAAGTAAAAATAATGCTTAGTTACTTCATTAAACATAATAACAAATTAAAAAAAATTAAATTTTATAATCTCAATTATAGCAAATTTATTAACCTATGGAATATAGATAATTATAGAGTTCAACGGGAGGTTCAAATAGTAGAGAAAAAATCTAATAGCAAAGACAATTAAGATATTCTTTACCTCATAACAAAAATAAAATTGATTATTCATAATTTTAAGATGTTCATACAGGAATCCAAAATAAATTGAATAATATCTAAATGTAATCAAAACAAATTCCTAGCAATATTGTTGATATTGTTAGACAGAAAACTCATTCAGTCTAAGAAAAAGGACATTGTCAAACTCCTGATAAAGTTGATTTAGTCATTAGACAACCTGGAAAGAAAATATAAATGCTTATGTAAAGAAAAAAGAATCCTACTGAATAAATAGAGAAATCTGAACAAACAGATAATGGTTTAAAAGATAAAATAAAAGATTTGACAAAAAGATCAAGAAATAAAACCTAACCTTTAAGAAAAATAAATGATAAAATGGAGAGATTTGCAAATAATTATACTCATTAGTTAATTAAATAAAATAGTCCTTAGGATAGCTTTATTGTTAAATTTTATAAACCATCAATAAGAGTGAGACATAGTAGTAATTAAGAAAATATTTTAAAACAAAATAGATTACTTACCCATAATTTTGTATGAAAATTGATTGCATAATATTTGTATATATATAAATTATTAGAAATATGATTAAATATCAACAGTAAAATAAATATAATTTGAAAAAATTACAAATGCCACCAAAAAGACCATCCAGAACTAACGACATCAAATATAGACAGAGCAATTAATAACTCAAAGGATAAGGAAGAAACATAGATTTTAAAAAGTTTCCTTAACATACAACTAAATCCAGATTAATTACTAATGGAGATATTAGAAGATTAGCTAGAAGAGGAGGAGTAAAGAGAATAAGTTCAGATGTCTATGAACTGTCTAAATTATATATGAAATTGTACATCTCAAACATTCTTAGAGATTCCATGATATATGCTAATTATTCAGGAAGAACAACTATTGTAGCAGATGATATATGTAGAGCTGCGAAAAGAGCTGGACAAACAGCTATTGGATTCACTAAATGAGACTGATGTTTATATATTTGAATTTTACCAATTCATTAATAAATGAATTTTATAAAATAAATTTTCTCGAAAACATCTTTACAATAATAACAACCAAAATCCTTGAATCAAAATTCTGATTTTTCAATTCTTGATCCTTCATTTACTTAAGTAAGAACGAAGGATGCCAAATTATTAATCAAAGATATGAATAAATTAGAATAAGTTCTTAAGTTCCAACCAGAATCAATTAATGAGTAACTCAAAAGATGTTATGCATTGCATATTATTCTTAAGAGTGTTCATTATTAAGTGATAAACAAAGTTATTATAAGTTGTCAATAAAATCAAGTAAATTACATCATAAAATAGAGATAAAACCAATTTCACTTAATATATAACCAAAAACAGCAGCTACTACAAATATTAACTAAACATGTTAGATTATGTCAGATTAATAAATGATTGCTACTTAGCTTTAAAATTCTATGTATCTGAATGTTTGTGATGTAATCATTTTATTATATTTATATAGTAATTCTAACTTTATGAACAAATACATTAAAATGAATCTGAGTTTATGAATATCTACTTCAATTACATATAGAGGATATCTTAAAATTCAGATGTCTATAATTCTTGTAAAATTCATCAATATCCAAACCAAGATGAAATCTTAAACACATAATTTTAATTTTTTTGGCTTTTCAAAATAATAAATATGCTTAACTTTAAACTGAGTTTTATCCCATATCTCCAGTAAGCATTTAATCAGAAAACATAAAATTCTTTTATCATTAGAGATATTGCTTACTTAATTTATAAAGATTGTTTAATGGAATATGGTTTCTTAAGAAACGAAATTACAGATATGATTGATTCATATTCATAATTCTAAGTCAATGATTGTAAGTCCAAATATTTTATTTTTAGTGCTGCAATTCTATTAACTAGTATTTATAATGCTAGAAATTAATAAAAAAATGCAAATTTTCTATAACATGAGATAAAATTTTGCACTGGACTCTTCGTCAGTTAGAGAAATCAAATTGTTTTCAATTGAAAAAAAGCAATTAATAGAAATAGAAAACTTTATTTCTAAAGCATAACTTTTAAACACTGCTCAATTTAAATAAAGCTTAATTATTCCATATTAAAAAATTGTTGTGGAAAATCTTTTGAAGGTTATGTAAGACCCATCTCATATTCAAAATTCTTTTCCAAAAGTATTTTTATATTTTTATCACAAGGAATCAATAACTTCCAAAAATATTAAGAAAATTAATGAATCACTATATTCACCTTTAAATTCTAAATAAATTACAAAATCAAATTATTCAAGATAATTGTCAAAAAGTTGATTAATTAAACTCAAAAAAGCTATTATTTTTTTCATAATTTTCCATAATAGAATAGGATTTTTAATATATATATAATTCCATTTTAATAAGTATTAATATATATGCTCAATTCAAGAAAAGTTAGATCTCAAAGTTTGATCATGGAAAACTTCTTTTTTTTACTAATGGAATATGTTATTAGACCTTATACACAGGCATTTAGTCTTCATTAATTTGATCATCTTCTAAATCATAATCAAATTGGCAAAGCTATTAATTTTAAAGTTCTTCTTCTAAAAATTATTGGATAGTTTTATCTCTAACATTAACAGCTATTATATAGAAATTTAATTACTTAGATTTTCTTAGTTATCCGAAGAATCATTTATACTTTTTAAGCTCTTATTGATCCAAAGTGGAGTATTTTATCTTAGTATATTTTTATAACCTCTCACAATTGTAGGCTTTTTAATAATTTTTAAAGATTTTATTCTAAAAATTTACTCATCCAATTAAAACCATTAATGATTTAAGGCTTATTCAGAAGTTATTCTCTCTTTTTGATCTTTTTTTAACATTTATATGCATAGATCTTTTGCATTTTTACTAATGTTTGCTTAATCTAGCAAATTAAAATTTATTTATCCAATCTTATTATTTTCAAACACTTCTTTAGAGGATGACCCTTGAATTGCTTGTTCTCCTGTTAATAATAAAAATAAAACTGTTCCTAAAGAGTAGATATCTACTTTATAATCATATTTTTAATTATTCAACATTTCTGGAGCTACATATCCTATTGATCCACATCTTGAAAATAAATAATCATCATTAGGACTATAAAAATCTGCTAATCCAAAATCTGCCAGTACAACATCCTCAATATTATTTTGTTATTTCAATATCAAATTTTCAGGCTTAATATCACGATGAATTATTTTTTAGCTGTGCATATAAGAAAGGGCTTTTAAAACATTAAGGATTAGTTTTTGAACTAGAGTTTCATCATAAAAATTAAATTTTTTTTCAATCTAGGTGAACAACTCTCCACCTTCAAGTAAATCCAAAATAAGATACACTTTCTTATCATCTTCATAAACTTCATGTAACTTTATAATATGTTCATTTTTCATCAATCTCAAAATTTCTATCTCTTTCCATAAACTCAACTACATAATGATGAAAATTTTTACTTCATTTTCTTCCTAATCTTTTTTGAGTTTAATTTTGTTGAAAATCTTAGAGGCAAATGTTTTACAATTTAGTTTTTAGAGAGATTATAAATCATCCTTTATAAGCTTAACTTTATAGACTTTAGCAAATGAGCCTTTACCGAGAATTTTGATAATTTAATAATTATTTTCGAACTGCGATTATATCGTATATTATTTTAGACAATTATAGACTTAATTAATTAGTAACAGTGGACCAAACATTTCAAGAAAATCTAAGTTATTAGAAATTCTCAAATTTTGTTCATTAGAAATCTACCCTTAGGCATTTCTTAGTATTTATCTTGATAATGATAGGTTTTCGAGATTTATATATTTTTAATCTACAATTAAATATTTATCTTAGATAAAGGCATTTTTAAACTTTATTACGTTATGCTAAGTGTTTTTTATTTGTATATTATTGAGTAGAATAGTTTCTGAGTTGTTGGAAAAAATGGGCATTCCGTTTTTCCAAAGAGAAGCAGATCTATTGGAATGATAAGTAAAACATGAATCAGATTTATTTCTCATTTTAATTATTAAAAAGATAATATGATTGTTTTATAGTTCTTCAATATATTAATCATCTTCCAGACCAAGAGGCAACTTATTTCTTGAACATGATGATAACTTCTTCCAAGATAGCATTTTCTTCATCTCTCTTAGCTTTAGCTTCAGCATAATCAGCTCTCTTGTTTTCCAAATCAGATTAGGCTTAATCAAGAGCATCTTGGGATTCTTAGAGGATAATCTTTGATTTTGCTTATTAAGCTAAAGCAGCTTGAATTTACTAAATAATAGATTATATAGGATTACAGTTGCAAGTCTATCAGCATAAACTTATTTTCTTTCATATTCAACTTTAAGGTTGGAGACTTCAGCTTCACTCAAAGAAACCCATCCTGCTAATTCCCATGAAGCATTGATTTCATTGACTTCCAAAGCCTCAAGAGAAGCTTAGAGATTTGCTTCAAGGGATTCTAAAACTGACAAAACTCTTTCAGCTAATGTAGCACCTCTACTAACCTAAAAAATATATTAAAACTAAATACAGATCCATCTTCTTATTTGTTAGCTAAACTAAGGAAAGATTTGACTTCATGTTCATTGAAAAGGTTACTGTAGGCCTTTAGTTTTTCAGCAACAGTCTATGTCTTCTCTTATACAAGTTCAAATGAATCTCCATTGATAATGTAACCTGCAACATCTTATTTAAGGACTCTGACTACTTCAAGAGCTTCTCTGTTTTATTTGATTGATCTAACAAAAAGTTAATTGCTCAAACACTATTCATCTAATAAGACTTAAATCTTTCTTGCTATTTCATCTTATCTTTATTCATTCCAAGCCAAATAATTCTTTGTGTCTTAGAGTTCTTATTCAAATTAAGCTCTATTTTCAATTGATTATTAGAAAAGCTTTTAGTTCAAGGTCTTGATCTTTGTGAATTGTTCAATAGTTCTAGAATTAGATCATAATATTACTATGCACCAACCCATTCATCTGTTTCATTCTTTTAATCAGCAGCGAATTGAGCATCCTTATTTGATTGAATGAGGTCATTCAACAAACCAAAGACTGTGTCGATAGCATCCATAGCTTTTGTTCCTGTCTAAAGTAATGCCATAATTTAATCATGAGTTGATGTTGCTGAGGCAATGCTCACCAATAAAAGGATAGCAATTGTAGCTTTCATCTCTAAAATAAATAATATTAATCAACCATCTCACTAACTATGCTAAATAACAAATACTTTCAATTCATCTAATTTTCAAAAACGGGTATTCTAAAATTAATATAGATCATTCACTTATTTAATATAAATAATAAATACACATAAATTTTTCATTACTTTAGCTCAAAACTATGAAGAGTCAATAACCAATCTAGATTACTTAAACATATATATCATAAATATTTTATTAGTTAAAATAATTCATCAGTTCTTTCGAAAAATACTCACATATTCTTTTATTTATCTATCTATGATTTCTTTATATCAATATTTACAATTATGTACTAAAACAATTTTAAATCAATATTTAATTTCATGTATTGAGGATTACTTAACATTTTAAATTCATTTATTATTCAATATTAAGAATTAGTCGAATTTATCAAATTTACAGAACTATCAACTAAATCTTATCTAAGTTGAAAAATAATTCTTGATTTCTCTATCTTTATTGCCCTGAGGTTATTTTTTAGCGGTTTAACTTAAAATGATGTCTAAATTCAATCTTTTTTTATAAGTTAACTTTCTCTAATCTCTACTTGAACAAAAACTTACATAATTTAAAATAAAACTATCATAAAATGTACCATTGCTATATTTAGATTAATGCTAATGATTTTTTTCAATACCCTCATCAATCCACCAATCTACACGTATTTCTTAAAACAATTTTATTTCATTTCCAGCTACTTAACAATTTGATAATTTTTTGTCTTTATACTTCTTCTATCTCAATATTCTTGGCTTTCTAAAATTAATATATGTGTTTTAATTATCTTTCTCAAGCCTACGGAGACCTTTTACACAAAATTAAATTGCAAAAAGATTCATTTTTACTAATCCTATTTTAAAAGAAATTTCATAAAGCTACTATCTCTTTATTAATAAATGATTCTTATAGATTTAATTATTTAAGTAGTTTTATTTAAATTAGTTCTTGTATTTTTATTTTTGAATGAAGTTGTTATTTAGAATGATTAATATTTGAAAGTTAAATTAATTAGAACTAATACTAAACAGTCTAATATAAAATAATGATTAATTAACTTAAAAAGACATTAATTCACTAATTGTAGTTCAAATTTTTTTGTAAATTTTCATTTTAGTTATTTTATAATTTCCCTTTTTTAAACTCACTCCAATTGCTATTCAAACTTATAGCTATCAATTGAATTACTGTATCTATGATATTTTGTTTGAAATAAATTTAGAAAAAAATTTATTTTTATATTAACATAAAAACATAAAACATAAGATAAGATGTGTCAAAAATGTAAAATGATATTAAATTAACATATTTGATTAATTTGTACTTAAAATCTTTACATCGAAGCACCATCTAAATATATAAAATTAATACTCCTCCCACATTTCATCACATACATCATGATAAATCTACTTATTCTTATATTAAATATACACTTCTATAGCTCCTTTATCATATTAATTTTATATAAATATATTAATTGAAATTTGAAAGAAGATTTTTTTGAAACCTTATTTAGATAATTTAATATCTAATTCAAAATAAATAAGATTTTCTCAATAACTGTGAATTATATATTCATTAAAGCATTATTGAAACATTTTTTGATAACTAATCCAAGAAGTTTCCTATCTAAAATCATGGCAAAAACTGGATAATTTTCTAAAACTTGGTGTTATTTTTAATTAACAATTTAAAAGTTAAAATTTATCAATGTTATATTGATATAAGTTCATTTATTTTATTATTAAATATAAGAATAATAAAAGGTTTGAAACATTTTATTCTAGACAGAACCTTTCAACTAAATAATAAAACTCTACAAAATTGTAATTTAAAAAAAAAAAAGTGGAGCATAAAAATAAAATAGATTTATACTTAGATGAAAATATATAATTTCAATCAAAAATTAAAATAAGATATGAAAAATAAACATAACTTTAAAAGATAATAAGAATATAAAGAATATTACAATTAATTCAAAAGAATTAATAGTTAAGTTGAAACTATAAAATTTTGTGTCTAGTAGAAAAATTCTAGAATTTTTGATTTCATTAAAATTTTTATTTTGTATATATTGTTATTTCATAATTATATATTTAGCTTCTAAAGTATTTATTATGTAGTAAGATTTTCAACTTGTTCATAATACTTGAAAAAATCAACTTATTTATTTCCTTTGAATTTAAATAGTTAATTCATCTCAAGGCAGTTTTGTAAATGTTATCCAAATCTTAAAAGTTAGGATGAGCAATTGTTTTTCAATTAAATAATTCTTAATCTAACACCTTCCAAAATGGCTTTAGTAGCATTCTTAAAAATAATATCAAAAGATTATTTTTCAATTTGATTCTTATTACATACTTTTAAGATGCTTAACAGAAGTTAATCTTAAGTGCCTTGTAGTGATTTCAGAGTTTCAGGGATGATGGAGTCCCAAAATTGATTAATAACTTGAAAATCATGTTCAATAACTTTTAAAGAAGTTTGTCCTTCTTTGGATTTACAAAACTTTTTCCAATCTTCGTTGGGAAATCTTTGATTATTAGGATCTAATCTTCCACTCTAGAGTCTACATTTCATCTTGAAAAGAATGCTATTTTGATATTTAGTCAGTAGAAATAAAAATCCCCAGAATAGTTGTTCATTTAATACATTTTTCAAATCTTAAAATATAATTCTTAATATTTACTTGATTAATATTGATCATATAACTAAGAATTAATAGAACTGAGAAAGGCTGATTTATTTTTACGATGTACAACCCAATCTGAAATAATTTGCATCTATTATTAAATCGATACTTTTTCCTTTTATTTCTTATACATTTAATCTAAGTTTTTATTTTTCTTATGTTTTTCTAATTTAATTTCTTGTTTAGCTTCAATAATTCCAGGACAAGCATTCTAAATTTGCTCTTAGATTTGTTAAGCATGAAAAACATGTTAAACGACATTTTGTTATTGAAAATAAATGTTTTTTTTTGCATTTGATTTTTTTAGATCATCTGTTTCTTCTTCGATTTCATTATAAGAATTTCGTAGATTAGTTAAAAATTCGAACTCCATACCTTCATTAAAATAAGCATGATTTTGAACATCTTTCCAACAAATTCTATCAATTTCTTCTTTTTATAACATTTTTCTGATTAATTCCTTCATTAAATCTGAGACAACTGGAAGTTGTGGAATATTTAATTCTTCATTTTATATTTTATTGATTAAATCTGGAATAGTAATAGAATGCCAAGGAAGTTTACCAAAAAGTATTTCATAAAAAATAATGCCCATAGACCAAACATCAGCTTTGTTGGTATATTATTTTTATTATAAAATTTAAGGTGCCATATACAAAGGACTTCCTGCATATGTGTATAGCAACTATTCATCTGTTTTCTCAAGAAATTTACTAAATCCAAAATCTGCAATTTTTACTACTCCATCATGTATCAATATATTGGCTGACTTCAGATCCCGATGTACAATATTGCATTTATATAATGCTTTATAACCTAATACTATTTATTTCATTATGATTTTTGCTTCTTTTTCAGCTAAGTACCTTTCATCTTTTCGACATTTTTAACATATATATTTGTCTAAACTGCCTCCATTGCAATATTCCATGATGAGATATAGATTGTTTTGTGTTCTTACCATGTCAACGAATTTGACAACATTTTTATCTTAAATGGTTCTCATAATAGAGATTTCATTATTAGCCATGTTTAAAGCTTTTTCCACTTCTTTTTCATCTTTGTTAGGCAATGCTATTTATTTGATAGCAATCAAAAGTCCACTCTTCAAATCTTAGCCAAGATATACATCTCCATAGGCTCCTCTACCAAGTTTTGTTGTCAAATCCATTTGGTAAGCTCCTATTTTTTTTGTACACATTATTTATAAATGATTATATTTACATCAATTTTGATATATTTTGGGTATTGTTTGCCAAATTACCAGGGAACAACGTTACCCGATACTCAACAAATCATTAAACTGAACTAAACTTAAAATTTCGATAGCTTAATTATCAAGTTCTACAAGGGAGGAGCAAATGTGCTTTGTTTAGCATCTACTATTGATTAAGATTAAACAAAAATATCTGATATTGAGTTTACTAACAATTCAAAAGGATCTTAAGTTTATGACTATCAAAGTTACTAAGCAAATAGTGAATATCAGCTTGTCCAGATTGGTTATATAGCAATGATATACATAAAATGTTTGCAATCAAATTAAAATCAATAACCTATCAATATAGAGATCTATTATTCAGAAAATTAAATTACTTTAGGTTGTATTAATGATTGTAATGGATACAATTATCCTGAAATTATGAATTCTGTATGTGTTTCTGAATCATGTCACTGTTTAGATGGAGCATTTGGACAATTTTGTCAATTTCAATCTTCCTAGATTTCTAGCAATGTTCTAACATCTATTACTTTAGAGTCTCATAAATGGAAGTACTTTCAATTCCAATTTAGTTCTATTGATATTAACTTATTTTCATAAAACTAAGAAGAATAATTGTGTATTTATTTTTCCATTAACTATTTAGATTATAGCTTTGTATTAAAGTAGAATCCATAATTATAGATTCCCACTCTTGAAGATAGCCATAAACTAATGTCAATCAATGACATTTAATAACAATTATAAAGTAAGTAAATAGATACTTATGTTGACATAATCTACATTGGATTATACAATAATCAATCATAAGCCATTGATATCTAATTTAAGGTGATAACTTCTGAAGAAGAACAAGAAAGTACTTTTGAAAGAAATAAAATTATCATAATTGTTACTGGATGCGTAGTAGGATCTTTACTATTATTTGCGTTCGGATTATCAGCTCTCAAATCTCGATAATAAAGATAATTTCAATTATAGATACAAGAAGCTATCAGAAGAAATCTAAGTCAAGTCCAGGAATTAGATTAATAACCCCAAAATCCAGGATAATAACTTCCTTAAATTAATCATAAAGGTAACGCTTTACCAACTTATGAGGTTTCGCCTTAAGGTTTATAAAAGATCATTTCAAAGGGCATAATTATGAAAAAATCATTAAGGCTTACCCAGGCTTATCTTAATTTGAAGAATGTGTTGTTTGTTTAGAATAAATGAAAAAGCCTTCTACCAAATAATTAAAGATTTGCTCTGTTTCTCCTTGTTTTCATATCTTTCATACATTATGTCTTGAAGAATGGTTATTAAGACAAAAGAATTGTCCTTTCTGCAGAACAGAATACACCAGAAAAAAAATAATCAAAGATTACCCTTGGTTAGAAGTTAATACTATAAGAGTCAATAATACGGATTCTACTTATCTAAGTCGAATGAAAAATAATTAAGATAAAAATAATGAAAGTTAAATTGAATTTGTGAAGTAATAACCTGAAGGATAATTTCCAAATTAAATGGAAGAAATTAATGAATGATATATATAGAATAATAAATTTCTTAGATAGAAAATCTCTTAAAATATACTATAAATTACATGCTTTTGTGCAGTTCTCATTAATATATGTAGTTTATTTATTCTTAAGATGTTGTACTAATAATTTATTTATTATAATAATCCAATTGAATATCTCTAATTTTTAATTTAGGCAAAAATTGTATCAAATAAATATATTATTCTAATATAGCCTAAATTATGTGTAAATTAGTTGAAATGTTTTAAACTAAATTAAATACAATTTGAAAACAAATGAATAACTGTATGGTCATCCATAAATGATTTGAATAAAGAATTGATTCTTAAATTTTATTATAAAATCAATCTAAATCTAATTACATTTCAATTTATCTTTTATCTATGTACTATTCTAAAGGTGCTTAAATGAAATTTGAATCAAGTATTTCTTTTTGGGTTTCTAAGAATTTTTTATGTTATCTCCTTGAATATAACCTATATATATCCCAAATAGCATAAACACCTAAAACTATTAATACTCTTCCAATTATGGCTTTGGATGTGAGTTCATCAACAAATTAATATGTTTATTCTTAATGTAATGTTTCATAAGATGGCTTTCTAAAATTATACCATTTATTTGAATAGTATTCCTTTTTATTTGTGCTATAAAAATAGGAGTCAGGATTGACATCATTTGCTGAATGAGCTTCTCCGGATTATTCAAAATTTAAAGCATCAGAATCATAAAGTTATCTTTTGATTGGATCCTTTAGTACTTGATAAGCTTTAGATATTTCTTTGAATTTCTCTTCTGATCCGGATTCTCCATTATCAGGATGGTACAATTTCACCAATTTAATATATTGTAATTTGATTTCTTTAGTTGTTGATTTGGGAGTAACTTCTAAAATCTCATAATAGGTCTTTGGAATTTTGCTAGTGAAAATAGAAAACTAATTTATTGATTTTCTTAATAACATTAATTTATTATGTCAGATTAAGAAGAAGAGTCACCAAGATAAGATGAATTTGGATAGAGAATAATAAAATTGAAAGAATTAACTCCTCTTGAAAAAGAATATTTTGAAAAGGCTCGTAAACGTCATAAAGAAAATATCTACAAGGATTAAATAGTTTAAGGAAGAAAATTTGAAGGAGTGGCATTTATTTCTAAGCCAGCAGAGATAATATTCAAAGTAAGATGAAGTCTCATATTATAGGATTTTGATGTAGGTAAACCACATACAATAATAATGTAACTTACAAATGTTTCTTACACCTTCAATTCATTCAAAATACTTCCACTTCCTGAGGCTGTTCGAGTAATATATAAATTTTGAAATAAGGATTTTTTTGAATTGATATACACTCCCCCTGGCAGAGTTTCAGCAGGCATGTCTTGTCCAATAACAGTTAGATTTACTCCATAATTAAATGATGATATAGATGTCCAATTATAATGTTAAGCTGAGACAGGACCTTTTTAAATTCATATCTTATGCACAAGCAAAAAAGCTATAGCAAAAGTTGAATAACCAATAATTGATTTTGGTAAAGTAATATTAGGAGAGGATTCAACCCTCATTCTTAAAATTCAAAATCTAGGAGCCCTTGATACAGATGTTTTTATCAGAAGTGCTAAAGGTATGGATTTACAAACTATTGCTACTGAATCAGTTTCTTAAAAATCAAATAGAGATCGACCTTTTGATGAAGAAGGTATTTTACCATTCTTAAAATAACTTAAATTCCAAAGATAACATATATTATAAGGATATTCAATGCTTAAGATACCTATTCAATACATTCCTGCAGATGTTGGTCCTTTTTCATTGCCTCTTACTTTATATTATGAAAACTTCTTACATTCTCCACCTTGCTAAATAGAAATTAGAGGATATTGCACTGAAGTTCCAATTTATGTCGAAAAATAAATTTATAATTTCTAAATCTGTTTATTTAATCATATTTACAGAGAAAAGATTGTTTTTTTTAATAGAAGTTAGAATGCAATGAAAATATAAATTTAAACTCCAAAAGAAACTAAAGATTTTTTTGAATTTAATCCAAAACTTGGATATATATAAGGAAATTCTAAATTTGAAATTTGGGTAAAATTTAATGCAGAAAGATAATTATAAACAATATGTTAAAGATTTTTTAAAGATAATGTAATAGATGTTCCATTTAAATTAATTGGAGCTGATTAGAAGATGCCTGTTCCTTTTAATATAGTTGCATAGATGACAATGGCTACACTTTAAATAACACCAGCAAGATTAGATTTTGGAAAGTTATTTGATGGATAAGGTGCAAAGAGAGCTATTACATTTGAGAATTTAAGTGATCTACCATAAGAATTAGCAATTTATCCTTTACCTAAAGAAATTTCAATTACAACTGATTTAGTCCCCTTACGTTTACTTCCTAAATAAAAATTTACTACAGACATTACATATAGAACTCAAAAAGTTATTGGTATTAGTGATAGATAAGATGAAGGAATTTTAAAATGCAAGATAGTTTCAGGTACAATTTCAACAAAAGAAATCAGAATACCTTATACTTGTGAAATTTCTAAATGTCCTTTAGAGTTTTCAGGACTCAAATTTGATATACCAGTCTAATAAATTGATGAAAAATATTCAACCACTATTGATATCAAAAATATATCTTAAAGAGACATTATAATTGAATTTTTTTTACCCTTTTATGAATTATGTGGTCTTAAAATGGCTCCTATGGTTTAATAAATTTAAAGAGAATAATTAATATAAGTTCATTTAGAATATGATTCTTTCTTTAAAAAATTAGGTGCTTATACTTTATAGGAATTGAAAGAAAAATATGAAAATGATCCTAATAATAATTTTGAATTAAGATTAAAAATTAGGTATGAAGAAGAAGAAAGAAAGAAAAGAGAATAAGAAGAATTAAAAAAAGAAGAAGAAATGGCTAAAGGAAAGGCTGCAAAAAAAGAAGTTAAAAAAGATTAGAAAAAACCAGAAAAATTAACAAAAGCTTAATAATAGTAACTTGAAGAAGAAGAAAGAAGGTAAGCTGAATTGGAAAAGCTAAAATAAGAAGAGGAACGATTAAAAAGAGAAGAATTCGAAAAGATGTTTGATAGTGCTAAGGAATTAAGAAATTTAGGAGGAACTCTTGTTGAATTTAACAAACCAGAAGATTTAAGTAAAATATTATTATATTCAATAAGATTATTCATAACATTATTCTTGGTTGATACCTTGCTATTTTAAATATACTGATATGCCAGATAATGCTAAATCAGTGATATACATATAGATTTCAACTGTTACAGTCTAAAAGAGTTTACTTTTAAGCAAAACCATTATAGATTTTGGAGAGGTTGCAGTTGGTATTCGATAAACAAAAGAATTAACTGTTTTCAATTAAACACCATTCAAAGCTGAATTAAAAATGGAAATGTTGCCAATTTCTTGTGGATTTACTATTTTAAATGCTCTAAGAACAATAGAACCTAGTAATAAAAAGTCTTTAATTGTTTAATTTTAACCAACAGAAGATTAACCATTTGAAGAGACTTTAAAATTATACTGTAATCATACAGCAGTGTCTGCTAAATTAAAAGGAATAGGTGTTCGACCAGAAGTTAAAGTAGTACCTGAAAATGGATTGATTCCTGTTGGAGGTGTAGTACTTGGAGAATTTGCAGAGAGAACATTTAAGATAACTAATGTTTCAAATTTTCCTATTAAATTTTAATTAATAAGTAAAGCTAGGGGAGTATAAAACTCTTGTGGTACTGAAGTCTTTCAATTTATACCTTAAGAGGCTATTGTTAATGCCTAATAAGAAATAACATGTAAAGTGATCTTTAAACCTGATCGAGTTTCAGATAAATTTTATGATCTTATATCAGTTCATGTACCAAATTAGAAATCTGAAAAGAGAGTTTTTATATGGGGTTATTGTTATAATCGTTAGGCTTATGTGAATATTTATCAGCCTTATAATTTAATTCCTTAAATAAATGAAATAAATAAGAAAATTGAATTTCCTTTTGATTAATTGAAATTAAAAGATGAAGAGAAGGTTTACACATACTTAAACAATAAGATTATGCTTGAATTTGAAAAATTGAAAGAAGAAGATAATTCTAGAAAAATAGTAATTGGTAGTTGTAAACTTTTAGATCCAAAAATGGAGAAACCTGTTAATTATGAAGTAATATTATCGGTAACATTAATTTATAATAATTTAATAGAAAGATGAAAAATATTTTGTTTGTGATAACTAGAAAGGTGCAATATAGCCAGGAAATGAGGTGGTAATAACATTTACATTTAAACCACCTTAACCAGATTAATTTATTGCATCAATAGAAGCTTTGAAGAAGATTGGATAATGGAAAGAGACAAAGATTGAATTAAAAATATCAGGAGGTTTCTTAAAAGCTGGAGTATAAGATAATATTAGCTATGAATTAATTCTAAAAGCATTCATAAACTAGATTTGATTTCTATTAAAAAAAGTTCATTTTGCAATTAAATATATGATTTAAGTTTCTGAAGTAACTTTACAGGAAGCTTTAGCAAAGAAAGAGGAAGGAAACAAATTCTTTGTAGAAAAGAAGTATGATGAAGCCATAAAATGTTATAGTGAAGCTATAGGTATAATGGAATAGATTATCAATGATTAGATCATAATCCAAATGAGGCAATTTATTATTCAAATAGAGCAGCCTGTTATTTAGCCTTAAGATAATATAAGAAAGGATTAGATGATGCAGAATAAGCATTAAAGAGAGATTCAAACAACGTAAAAACTTTAAGAAGGAAAGCACTCGCCCTTTAAAATTTGGGAAGATTGGAAGAATGTGTAAATTCTCTGAATGCAGCTTTGTAAATTACTCCTGGAGATTAATCATTAAAATAAGAGTATTCTACAGCATAACAAGTAAACTAATAAATTCATTTTAGATTTGTTAAAGTTATTTAGAAGGTTTGAAATAAATTTAAAATGAAGATTATTAAAAGGCCTTATATTAATTTTAATAAGTTATATAAGTGTGTTCATAATCTTTAGAGATATAGATCTTATTTGTTGAGTGTTTAGCAAAGTGTGGTGAAAACGATAGAGCTAGTAAATGGTTGATGTAAATATAAAGTGAACATGGAACAACTCCAGATGTTTATTATTTAAAGGGAATAATTGATTTATATAATGGAAATAGTGAAAAAGCAAAGAAAATATTAATAGATGGAATGAAAGTGGATCCAGACAATAAGAAATGTAGAGAAGCATTAAAGAAGGCAAGGAAATGCGAAGAATTAAAAGAAAAAGGAAATAAATTACTATAAGAGGTTAAATTAAATGATGCTATTGAATGCTATACGGAAGCATTGAGTGTTGATCCATATAATCGTAAAATTAATTCAATAATATATGCTAATAGAGGATTAGGTATTTTATTATTATTTTATTTAGTTAAACAAAAAATGAATCAACATAAAGAGGCTATTGATGATTTTACTAAATCTATAGAATTAAATCCATAATATTATAAAGCTTTAATTAGAAGAGCAGAATCATATGATAAATTAGGATAATTTGGAGATTCAGTCCATGATTATTAATAAGTTATTTAAATAGAACCATCTTTAGAATAAGAAATGGCATAAAAATTAAGAGAAGGTCAAAAGAAAGAAAAATTAGCAAAAAAGAAAGATTATTATAAAATATTAGAGGTAGGTAGAGATGCAACAGAAAATGAAATAAAAAAGTCTTATAGAAAATTGGCATTATTATGGCATCCTGATAAATTAAAAGATAAAGATGAAGAAACTAAAGTAAAAATATTATTATTAATATATGATAGTAATTAGGATAATAGAAGTTTAGAGATATAGCTGAAGCATATGCAGTATTATCTGACAAAAAAAAGAAGGATCTTTATGATTCAGGAGTAGATCCAAATGATTAAAATGGAGGTTTTGATGGAGGAGTAGATCCATCTTAAGTTTTTCAAATGTTCTTTGGTGGTGGAGGTGGTTTCCAACAATTCCCATTTGGGGGTAGTGGAGTTCGTTTTGAATTTAGATGAAGTCAAAATCTATATTTTTAATGTTAAAAATAAATAATGTCTTCCACTTTCAAAAAGTTGGGTATTGAATATAAAGAATTGCCGTAATCCCAAGTAGATGAAGCTATCTATTCTATTCAATCTATGAGATTGGAATAAATTTTAATTTCAGAAGGAGAAATATTTGATTGGCAAAATCTCTTAAATCGTCCAGATTTAGTAAGCTTAAAATACCCAGATAAATTAGGAACTTTAATGATGTAAAATGAATCAAATACAAGTAACTCTTTCTTTATTTTCGATATAAATAATCCATTTAGGATTAAAGTTATTGCTACCATCAAATCAAAGTATATTTAATCTTTTATTAAGGAAATATCAATAAATCTATTTAATTGTAGCCATTATTGGCATAATTCCTTTTTGCATGGAAGATTCTAAAATAACATAAGGAATAGAAATAGTTATTAATTGTATATTAGCAATTGATATCATTTTAAAATCAATTGCTAATGGATTCATTTTTAGTAAGAAATCCTATCTTAAAAATATCTGGAATATTCTTAATTTTGTTGCATTTCTATTTACATGGTTTTTGTTTTTAGCTAATTCAAAAATTTCAGAAATAATAAAAACTATAAGATTCTTAAGAATCTTTAGATTCATAGAAGAAGTCTCTATATTGAAGATATAATTTAATGCTTATGTTGGAAGCTTTTTAAGAGTTAAATCAGTTCTGATACCTATTTTTTTAGTAATGATTTATTTTTCAATAATTGGATTACACTTATTTATAGGCTTAACAGAAAGAAGATGTCGTATTACTTAATAACCTGTAAATAATACTTGGATAGCAGACCCAAATATTCAAAAATTATGTGGCATATGGGAATGCCCTGAAAATACTTTTTGTGGAAGTCTTTTAGATTAAAATCTTCCAAGAAATGAAACTGAAAATGATGTAGAAGCATTTAATTGGAATTTTACAAGATTTGATGATTTTTTTCATTCATTTTTAGTAGTCTTTACATTTTTAAATGTTACTGGATGGTCTGGAACAACATTTATGGTATTTTTTTATATAATTCTATTAGTTTTGGAAAGCTATGACAACTTATGTTACTGCAACATATTTTTTAATTATGATTCTTTTAATGGCATTTATACTTTCTAATTTGTTATTAGCTTTGTTTTATGAATCCTTTATGGAGAAATCTTCAATTAAAAATACCTAAAAAAAATTAAAATAAGAATAATAATAGATAGAAGAAGAGATAAAGAGAAAAAATTAATAGTAATTAATAAACCGTTTAAGTGTTATAAGCAAACAAAAAGAAAAAGGGAATTAAATTTCTAATTTTAGTATTTATTTTACAGAGGAACAAAACATTAATATTAAGGAAAGTGAAAAAGAAGTATTTATTAACAAAATTTTAAACTCTCCTAAGATTTCAGTATTAAATACTTTATTTGTTTTTCTATCTGCTTTTGCTATAGCATATGATTATGATGGTATTCCTAAAATTTAGTATTAACGATTATAATTGATAGATTTTATATGCATTCTTTACACATTTTTTGAGATTGTGATTTAATTTTGTGGAAGAGGAATATAAGAATTTTTTTCTAAAAGGATAAATGTTTTTGATTTTTTAATAATCTTTTCTCAGTGGGCATTAATATTTTTTTTAGTTTGCTTTGATTAAGCAATCATATATAATAATAATCGAGTCATCATTATTATAAAATCTCTTAAAATTTTAAGAATATTTAAATCATTATTTTTCGCTAAAGTGTTTTACACCATTGCAGTACTTATTAGATCCTTAATTAGTACAGTAATAGCACTTAAGAAAATACTATTTCTGTGGATTTGCCTTATATTTTTAATGTCAGTCTTCGGTAAACAATTACTTTAGTATAAAATGTCTGAATAAAATATGACTATTTATTATGATGATTTTGGATCTGCCCTAATGGCTGTTATTAATATATTTTATAATGAAGAATGGCATATAACTATGTATAAATATGGTAGACATACTCAAGCATCTATTGTATTTTATATAATTTGTGTTGTTTTTGGATAAATTTTCTTTATCAGATTATTAACAGCCATCTTTTTAAATGAATTTAGCTTATAGATAGAGACTGTGTAAACTAGTTTAAAACCTATAGATTATAAAAAGATTTTTTCTTATAAATAAGTTAAGGTATCACATTATTAAAAAGCCATTAGATTGAAAATAAGGAATGCGAATCAAAACTAGAGCTTGTTTAATAAGTTTCAAAAGAGAAAAATACAGAATCTAATAATTAGAAGGGCCTAAAATTAAATAGGTAAAAAAGGAAAACTAATTCAATTATAAATAATTAAGTGTTGTAATCTTCATTTTAAAACCTTGATGAAAATTTTAACGTTAATCAAGAAAATCCATAACAAGAAAGTAGTAAATAATAAGTTATAAAATCTGATGCTGGAATCAAATAAGAAGAATTTTAAAATAAAACCTTATTCATGTTTTCTGAAAAACATCCACTCCGTATACGAGTTAAGTCATTAATTGAAAATTTACCATTTAGAGTGTTTTTAATTATTCTTGTGTTGATATGTGTTGTTAGAACTATATTATTAACACCATTTTTAAATCCTGAATCTTATTTATTTTCAATTTTATAAACAGTTCATTTAGTGAATACTATTTTATTTTGTATTCAAATTTCATTAAACATTTTATCTGATGGCTTAATAATAGGAAAAGAATCTTATTTATAAAAATCCCCTTATAATACTCTAAACTTTCTTATTACAACAATGGATATAGTGGCTATTTTTAATTACAATAAATTAATATTTAACCTCTTTTCAAGTTTAAGAATTTTAGAATTTATTAGGATAGGAGCAGAGTTAAACTAAAATATTAATTATGTATCATAAGCTTTAATGAAAGCATTTTAAACAATGATTTAATTAAGTATTTTTTGTTTTGTCATACTTCTTGTATATGGAATATTTGCTACAAAGTTATTAAAAGGTAGTCTATATTATTGTTCAATGCCAAATTAATTTTAAGGTCTAGTAAATGATAAATGGGATTGTATGGACAATGGGGGTTCATGGATAAATAAAATATTGGGATTTGATAATGTATTTGATAGTGCTTTAACTTTGTTTATTACAGCAACTACCGAGGCTTGGTTACCTATTTTAATAGATACATGGAGTTCAAGAGGTAAAGATCTTGTTCCTATTAATAATCATAATAGATGGTGGGCAGTATATTTTTAAGTGTTTTTCTTTATTGGTAATATTTGTATGCTTAATATGTTTATCAGTTTAGTTGTAAATACTTATTAAGAAACAAAAATAAAAGCTTAAGGAATGTCAGAATTAAATGGAAATCAAAGAGAGTGGCTGTAAATCAAAAATAGTATTAATAATCTTACTCCAAGGGTTAATTATGAACTACCTAAAAATAAAATTTTAAAACTATTTTACTATTTTGCCGAGAGTAAAAAATTGAAATACTTTTGGCATACTATAATCGGAATAAATACAATTATTTTATCATTATTTTATACAAGACAAAATGAGATATTTAGAAATATTTTGATGACTATTAATTAGTATTGCATTTTAATATCTGCAATTGAGATTTCAGTTAGATTTATAGTTAAATATGGGAAAAAAAGAGATGTTTTTTAAATAATTGATTGTTTTGGAATAATTTTGAATCTTTTTGATTTGTTTATATTACATGAGATAAGCTAAAACTTTTATATAATTAGATCTTTCAAAGCAGTATCAGTAGCATTTTAATTATTAAGAAATTATTATATAATTAGGTATTTAACTATTAATATTATATTAAAGACGCTTCCCAGAATTAGAGAAATTATTTAATACAATATTTTCAGTAATTCCATCTGCTTTAGCAATGATATTTATTATGGCTTTATTTTTATTTATCTATGCATCTTTAGGAATGGATTTATTTGGATATTTGAGACCATAGAATTATATTGAAGGATTTGATCTTCATTTTAGAACATTTACTACTGCAATGTTTTCATTAATAAGAGTTGCTAGTTCAGAATAATGGTGGGCTTTATTAGTTGATTCAGTACATACAAGAACACCAGATTTTGCTTGCATTTATATTAATGATTACTAAAATTATTAAACACATGGTTTTAATGGATGTGGAACATATTGGGCTTATGCTTATTATATATCATTCCATCTTATATTTTCATTAGTCATATTAAATTTATTTATTGCTTCAATTCTTGGAGCATATGAAGAACATGTTAAATCTGAATAAAGTGCTATTTCTAAATATCAATTACATGATGTTCTAAATTATTGGGCATAATACGATCCAAAAGGAATAGGATTCCTTAATTATAAATAATTTTGGAAATTATCCTCAGAAATTGCTATCTGCTTTGGAGTTCCAGTTAAAGAACTTTATGATCCAGCTAACAAAACTAATTTTCTAAGGGCTTTACATATTCCATTATATGAAGATAAGGATGGTCTTATGGGTTATCTATTTCATGATGTTATTGTTAGTTTAACTAAACTATCTGTTGAATTAAAATATGGTGTAAAAGAGTATTTATTTTTACTCATTATTAGTTTGGAATCAAGTTCATATAAAGGCAAAGAATTTTTACATGATTATTATAAATTATTTGAAAAAACACCATATAACAGTGGTTAAATGTCTAGTATCATTTTTATCTAAGGGAAAATCAGAACTATCAGAAATAGAAAAAAAGGAATTAAATTTCTTAATATTGAAGCACTTAAATAAGAACTATAAAATTAAAATGATGCTGAAAGAAGTGGATAAGATAATGAAAATTGATTGTATTTAGACTATTATATGTATTATATGTATTAAATGTTTAAGTTTAATTTCTATTCATAAAAAAAGTAATTTTATTTAAATTATTATAAAAAGAATTTATTTGCAATTATATGCAATCAAGCATTTAAATTAAAGCATGATTTCAAGTACTTGAATTAATGACATGAGAAAAATAATATATATAGTTAGTTTTTATATTTATATATTAATGTTCACGAGTGTAACTTGAAATTAATAGTTTTGATAATATTTAACTTTAAAAAAAGTATAATCAAATTTATAAAGGGGAAAAATCATATTCTTGTTAAGAGTTTTATTAGAAATTCTTATCTTGTAATATTTCTTAAAATTAATTTATTATTATAATAAAACTATTCAGAATAATTATAATAGATAAAGTTATGTTTAGGAATGCAATCGAACTTTTCTTTATAGATTTAGGTATAAAAAACATTAAATTATTCATAAAAAATCAGAAAATAATACTCATCAGTTGATAAATCTCTAATAAATAAATTAAATTTCAGCAGATTTGAGAATTTTTATTTAAAGCATCACATCCTTTCAATTTTAATAATATTCATACAGACGATTATATAATTATAATGAATATTATTTTATAATTAACAATATAAAGAAACTGGAAGCATTGAATTACATGATTTATTGAATAATAACAACAAAACTGTAATTCAATTTAATACCATCAATATATCGAATCATCAAATATTGATTATATAAATTGATATTTATTTATAAATGTTGTTGCAAATAAAAATAATGATTTAATAATTGTTTTTTATCATGTAATGGATGGTAAATGGAAAGAAATCTCTCAATTTGCAAAATGAAAAATATTAGTCCAAATTGTAATCATCCAATAGTTATGCATACATATCGATTATTTGATAAATGAAAATTTACATTTTCTTTCATGATGACAATTTTGATAATGATGGATTTTGGAATAGAATGAGAGTGAATTGATAATATAATTAAATAATTCAAATATAGAATGGATTTAAATTCAGATGAATTCTTTTTTGGAATAAATAAGTCTTTGTATTTTAAGACAGAAGAGTAAAAGAATGAAATAAAAAAAATGGATCCAGAGTATATAACTCGAACGTATTTAATAATAAAATGTTAAGTGGAACTGATTTTGTATTATTACCAAATTCACCTGAATTCATAAATCACAATGAACCATTTGAACCAATGTATATTCCAAAGTAAACAATATTGGAGGAAAGTTTAAGAAGAGAAATAGAAAGGATATGTTTTGCAGATACTTTATTAAATAAAGTGGTTTTTGATTGTGCAGATCCTAGTCCATTTAATAAG